AGAGTGGATATTTTCAGACATATACCCAACAAAACTTTGCTGCAATGTCGGTTTCCCGGAAAGGAACACTTTATTTGATATAAGAAATCTATTTTTATAATCAATATTGTTGCTGTGTGATGTAATATCAATTATCTATGTGCTAGTATTGCTTTAGAAAATTCTATATATAGAACAGAAGTATATTAGTATCATATTGTTGCTAGATTAAATAATATCACAAAATATGAAACATTATGGGTATTCCGTCATTAGATACATTAAAATAATTTGTGGTAGTATACATATATACACATTGTATGTTCACCTACAATTTCGTAATTTTCCTCGTTAAGGTAGATGCACTAAAACATCGATATATTGTAGATATAATCAGAGACGTATATGATATAATGATGTAAGTTTGAGTTCAATTATCGTGAAGAAAAATGGGTAAGACAACGGACCAAATTCACATATAAAAAGATGATTACCATACATGTATGTAACATAGGTATAAGGGAAGCAACTCCTATATATGTATAGGATTTTAAACAATTAAACTGTACATAAAATTTTATACAGAAATCACGATAATACGAATTATTCTACGGTGCTTAAATGACATATTTCATATTTACAATGACGTTATGATAACAGGTGACTAGCCAGCCATAGGGATGTTGCAATATACTTGGTATTTCTCGTCACGGTTAGTTATGATGTACTCGTCTTCTGTTCCGACACGGTCATAATGGAACAGATTATTATTATTATCATCATCATTACAGTCTTAACGGTCCGTTAACACATAAAATGTCATTAGGGCCATCAAACGGTAAAACACACAACGATCCAAAAGGAAATTACATTAAACAAATAAAAGGTAAAAGACAAATGTTAAAAATCTTAAATGGGTATGTTAACACAAAAGATTAAAATGCCACGTCATAGTCTATTATATAGACCAACATCTTTCAGTTAATGTAGAATTTTACAAATCTCAACAGTTTCAAAAAATCGATTTTAGAAAATGTGATGTTACGATAAAAACGTTCTCGAGTAGACAGAAGGTCACTGCAGTCCAATAAAATATGTTTAACGGTGAATGGCTCATCACATCCTATGCACTAAGGATTATCTTCGCCTTTCAACATATGTGAATGTGTAAGGTATGTATGACCCATTCGAAGATGGGCAAGGACAACTTCGTCTCGGTGGTTGTCTCTATAGCCTGGAGACCATTCACCGATAACAGGTTTAACGGAGTGTAATTTGTTATTGGTATAGGTATTCCAATTCTCCTGCCACTGAGCTTTTAAAATTTGTTTAATAAATTGTTTAAAATCGGTGAAATGAAGTTTAACAACAACATGTGGTAGCGATAAAGCTTCCTTTGCGGAACGATCTGCTTTTTCATTGCCTGGTAATGCCATGTGCCCAGGAACCCAGCAAAAAGCAATACGAAAGTTAAAAGTAAGTTCATGATCTAGTATCAATGTATTACGAATGTAATTATTTTCGATATTTCTATTGCTAAGAGTTTGTAGAACAGAAAGAGAGTCTGAATGGATAACAGCTCTCATTACTTCAGCAGGGCTGTAAGTATACGACATTTGCAAAAGGTCGTGAAGTGCAGTCTGTGCAATGACATAACTTTACTATTAGACTTTTCAGTTAATCCTTAAATTCCTTTTATTTACAGTTTCCAATAATAATTTTTTTTGTTCAAAGTGTAGTTTTGAAAATTAATCCATTATTCAATTTGTAATTTGTTACAGTTTGGAAAAATTAATCACATATTTCGGTCTGCCTCATTGAATTTCTGATAAATGATGTCTTGACATTGTACATGCTAGCGTTATCCATCACAATTAAGTTTAATGATTTAACGTTAATCACATTACTTGTTTTGCTCTACCACTCTGTCAACCTAAGTATCCCAGAGATACACTTATCTTGTCTCAGTAATCACTACATAATCCAAACTTTTCCCCACCTATATATACTATGGGTTTCTGTGAATGCTTTGCACTTGCCGAGGATCACCGCCAGGTAAGTGTCCCTGTATAGCTTATATATCTGTTTTGAACCATATTTAAAGGCATGACCGTGCCGCTGATAATACGTGTATGTTAATGATGAATCTTTTAGCTGTTAATTCTAACAGATAATATCTTTGTTCCAGTATTTCATGTCCCTTTGAAAGCATTCAATATTGCACACGGCTTGAGTTAAGTCGTCTCCTAGGTTACAACAATGTAGGCCTTTAAACATCACTGACGAGAACTAACAGGATGGAAACAGCTTTATGATGGCGTTACCGCATCCAATTTTAAATTTGTGAGGAAAAGTGTTATTCACTTGTGTAGCTTTTGTATGATATTATAAATGTACGCAAAATGTTTAGCTTATCCGAGAAACGATATTGTTACTTTTTTTCTAAAATTTTCATTGAAAATAACACGAGAGTAGTGAAGCGTTTACCACATGTCCAACTTGCATGGTTTGATGGTCGGGTAGAAACTGACGTCGTATATTACGTCATGGCCATGGTTCCATTTCTGACACAAATCTATGGTAAGATTACATCGTTGTTTCATATCAATAACAACAAATGTTTCAATGAATTGTAACCATACATCAATGTACATGTATTCCGTTCTGAATTTTTTACAAAAGAATCACATTTGCGCGTTTGACTTGCTCTTTTGCATGTATAAAGACTTCAGCAGAGGGCAGTCATCGATTTGTCCACATGAATTAAATGTTGTGAAACATTAAATGGAAAGTATGGTTCCTACTAGCGATAGTAACATATAATGTCGTGTGTATTTGAATAAGATCTTTCACTCAGATCGACTTGTAACTGTAATTATTTTACCTTTAGTTGATATATGTGGGAATTTGTTTTAATACATATATGACAACAAATCTAAGTGAGTTCGAGCATTATTCAGATGTGGTATGGAACACACGAAATAATTATAATATTTCTTATATTTAATATCTTTTAGATAAAAATACAATGAAGCGTTACCGTTATTTTTATTTCAGATTCATAATGCAGACGCTCTATCTGTTCCTTGCTACGCTGAATGTGGCTTTTGCTTTATACCTGCAACAAGTTCCTTCTTCTAATGGACTGATGCAGCGCGTGGTATCGCGTCCTATTATTGACCAGTCTATGCCCAGGACAGAAGTAGGGACAGCAGCAAATTTGGTCAGAACAACAAGGCCATCTTATCTCACAGGACAGTCTCTGTTGGCTAACAGTGTACCTGGTATACCCAATTTCGCGAGTCAACCAATTAGACAGACAGCGGTACAGGGGATTAGTTCTCAAATGCAAGCGAGGATGTTAAATCAAGCTCGAAGAAATGCATTAGCGTTAGAACTCTTGCAGCTCGGAGGCAATACGGAAAGTTACCTAGGCAAAAATCCATTAATTTTAAACAGAAATTCAAATGATGATTTACAGCACAATGCTTTTATAGACAGTTCGTCGGACCTGGGACCTGCTTACATCGGTAATTTTCAAAGTGCTGCTGTTGCTCCAAGGACTGCTAATTTATTGGGAAGGAATGGACAACCGATCAAAGGTTTCTTCGCTACAATAAATACATCCCCAGAAGGCACAGTAAGACTAACGCCTCTATCCTCACCTACCAGCGTCGGGTCTGCTGCCGCCTTTGTCCCCTCTGGTGGTGCTAGTGCAGCGTCTTCCATTGTTCGAGGAAGCAGTGGAATATCTGGGCTCAATGCAATAGTAGGAGCACGTCAACGAATTTTGACCCGTTACTTCAATAGCGGAAACATCGCCGCTGGAGGTGGCAATTGGTAGAAAGACATCCCCATGCATTTGGAATCGATGTTTCGCCCTTATAGTGATTATGTAAGTAATAAAACACACTCTAAGTACTTAATGTAGTTCAAATACATAAAGCGTAACAAACTATACATGCAATGTACGTTAAGGAGTTGTGATAACATTTGTTGCAGCATAAAATCTGAAAAAAAATAGTTAAAATCGAAGTGAATACATTCCAGGGTGCTTTGATATATTGTTGTGCATTTTAATTGGTCAGTATTCTGCACATAACATAATTATTAAGAACGTTTACCTATAATCTATATCATTATTACTATTAACCTGTAAGGAATTCATTCCTATATAATATTAGTACTTGCATTATTGTTGTTAGGTCCTGCTAAACTGTCTTACCGACATGCGGCATTTGTTTTGGTATGCAATGATCTATTCCTACTAGCTTGATCAATAATAAAAGAAACAAACTCAACAACACATGAACAGGATTCGATTTTCTGATCTACTTGTGTAACTTTCGATCGCTCCATTCTATGAGTTGTTGATATATATAGAGGGGATGTAGGTGTATTTGGCGAGGTAGTTGTTGAAGTTTTTGGCTATGTGATTTGGTGCCGTTGATCATGAGTTCGAGGCCCGGATAGGTCACGAGTCAATAAAACGTCTTCGTTCGTCAGCTGTGTTTCCAAGTGTTCATATCGTGTAATTAGACCATTTGCCACTAAGGAAATAAGGATATATTATTTCACTCATGAAGTATGTAATGAATAACTTTTTTAACATTCCGATTTAAATCTTTTGTTAATCCCAAATGTTCATTTCTTATTGGTAATTGTGTTCTTTATAATCTGTCGCATGACTAACGGTTAAAGTAAAATTTATCTATAGAATTTGTTTAAAAGAAGACTTGGCGTGCCACTGGGTCATGCTTTTTAACGTACATCAAAATCAAAAGTGTATGATAAAATCTCGATCTATTAGGTCAGTGCTAGAGTAGATAAAACATGTGGGAGTGACTCAGGGCAACCAATATGTCATTCTTCATACCGTTTTAGTCGTCAAGTCTTGAAAGTACACAAGAAGTACACCCATAGGTTAGTTTGTTTGGTAGATTTATTGCTCCGTGAAATGTCGAGGCAGGGTCTCCTTGTACTAGCTCGTGGCTACCTCTATGAACAGCATACGGAAACAACTACATCAGAACAGACTTGTCCATTCTTGATACTCCAGAGGTACGATCACTCTCTGCTTCCTAGGAACATGTCATGGCAAAATTGAAGGCACAGTAACTTTAGGAAAAAGGAGAAAAAAACTAATCACAGGCCGATACGCCCCTTCCGATGATTACAAAGGAGCGACCGATGTACCGTTATACGACCTCGAGATTCGTTTGATGTACATCAAAGGATCAAATTCACATGTCCACAAAGTGCTCCACACGGAACTTTTGCCATGTCATGATCCTGCGGTCAGAGAGCGAAAGTGATTGTCAACCCTGGAGTCTCGAGGTTGAGATCGGTCCGTTTCTAAACTTCCTGAGAAACCTTAGAAACACAAACCACCACGGGTAGACAGCTTCGGTCGACACACATGTATCTCCATTCTACACATGAGGTTACAGAGGCCAACCCATCCAACGAACGAGCTATGACACTTCACACTAAAAGATATACCGATGTACCTTGCTAAATGTTAATACCGTTTTTCATATAGCCGATGTTATATGAGTCTCCATACATTTGAGATCTATATGACGATCGCTACAATTCTTTAAAACCTCTGACCTAGATGCTTTTATAAACATTCTTTATCAGTCTTTTATTAGACTTAAAAAATCAAATGTGTCTTTATTCTCTATATATTTCTCTTTGGTGACATCACAATGACTATGAAGCTATAGCGCATGCGATCTTCTATTACTATCTTTTTGATATTATTACATTGCAGTGCGGCGTAGCTGGTCCACCAACTCCAGATTCCTGTTTCGCCTGTGCCCCTTTAACCAAGAACACTCAATAAAACGTATTAAACACAATTTCCATTATTGTTGAATTATTTCTCTTTTCTTTGTTTTCTTCTTTTAATCGAACACTCACAGAATTTCTTTTCAAGGAATGTGGATTTTTTGGTCGAATGTACATGAAGCATAATAATGCTTTCCTATATTCAGTGCCAGTAGTTTGCAGGTCGCACTTGACTAAATAGATAGATAACTAGAATTTCATTTCCGTCATATCTATGGGATTCGAAATGAATATTCTAAAATGGAACAACAAACAGTGGGATGTATGTTGTTTACAAAAGCAGGGAAATTGCCAGGGTGCTTGATTTCGCGGATGAATATAGCTCAATAAACGTCTTTAAACTGTATATATCAGTTTGTGGATTGAAAGTGATCACGAAATCACGACGTATATTATATTGGTTGTCCGATCTTTTGATGAATCTGTTGGTTGTAAGAAATCCCATTTGATAGCAATTCAATTTTAGACTAATTGTAACGGTGAGTTTTCCTATCATACTAATCATATTGAGTTTCAGTTCATGTAATTGAGAAGGAAAAAACACCAAAATATCGTTTTGATACAGAGAGGTGGTTTACAAATTTCAATGAACAGTCTAAATACAATGTATTTACGAATTTCATTACCAAAATTCACTTTTATTTTGAAAGATAACTAACTATACATTAAAGATTTGTACCTCTGCAAAGTATTGCATCACTCGTTTGTAACCAAACGTAATTAAGACAGTCCATGAGTGTCTGTATATAATGCGACTGATTTAGTGTTGGAAGAAAAGAGATTACATATCTTCATTTTCATCTTAAAGTAAAAATCAAATAGGCCCATTATTTTTTAAAAGCACCACATTGTTATTGTATTCTGTTGCGTGCAAAATATCATATGTTGTTTAAAACACGGTTCTTGTTACATGTTGGTAATATTATGTTGTGGTTGATACTAGCTGTGACTGACTAACACTTTCAATAGTTCGTCAGGTGATAAATCCATGACGTCATCAGAAATAGAAGGGATATGGAATCCAAAACAAGACAATACCGATATGTCAACAAAATCGTAATAAAACGAAGGCAACATAGGAACAAACAGAAAATATAGAGCGACACACATGGAAACGTTGAAGAAAAAGACGACCAGATTGTGTAGAAGAGTAAGACGCAATGTCACGTTCACAATGAGAACAATGTTAACAAATACGTCGTCGAACAAGTTGGCTGTATTTTGTCTACGCTTCAAAATCCATAGTGGCATGTGGAATTTTCAGGTATCCTTAATTTATCATATTGATTGTGGGATGGGGATGTTGATTATGGGATGGGGATACTGATTGTGGAATGGGGAAACTGATTGTAGGATGGGGATATTGCTTGTGGGATGGGGATACTGATTGTGGGATGGGGATCGTGATTGTGGGATTGGGATATTGATTGTGGGATGGGAACACCGATTGTGGGATGAGGACACCGATTGTGGGATGGGGATACCGATTGTGGGATGGGGATACTGATTGTGGGATGGGGATATTGCTTGTGGGATGGGGATACTGATTGTGGGATTGGGATATTGCTTGTGGGATGGGGATACTGATTGTGGGATTCGGATATTGCTTGTGGGATGGGGATACTGATTGTGGGATGGGGATTTTGATTGTGGGATTGGGATATTGCTTGTGGGATGGGGATACTGATTGTGGGATGGGGATACTGATTGTGGGATGGGGATATTGCTTGTGGGATTGGGATATTGCTTGTGGGATGGAGATATATAACATTTATTTAGGCCTTTTATACTTCTTTTTCCGAAAATCCTGATGTAGGTCACCTGGCATTATCTAAAGATAAATATGTGATGTAATACATCACATCTAAGGTGATATCCAGGTGTGTTATTTGTACTATCTTTTTGTGTCATTTTTGACATAAGACAAACATGTCCTGATTTCGTGAGAATGTCCTGATATTGGAGACTATCAGGCGATGAGCTTACATTGCATTGCGATGAACAAAACCACAGTGATGTTTTACTTGCATGAATTTATTATATAAATATATAAATCATATCTCAATCCAATTCCAGGGTACACGGTCATGTCCATTTAGTATGCTCCACGCTTCTTCACTGTAATATAGATATAGTATTTTAGGGACGGGGAGTGTTTATAGTCAATGTCATTAAATGGATCATCAAAATGATAATGTCTTAACATAATCAAAGACAAAAATCTGCCAACTGTATTGTTACCAAATAATGCTCATTACATCACTACATATTATACTCCCCCAACCTTCATAATAGTCTTAACATGTACCCTTACTTATTGATATTATATAATACTACTTTAAATACTGCACCCTAACACTTTTAAAACTATCTCTTATATTCAATGCAGCCTTGTACTGTTTTCTGTTGTTTATATAATACTCTCAAATATTATCTTCTATATAACAAACTGTCTGAAACTTTCTTATATATATAATACTATCTTATGCTGTCTTATATATATAATATTATCTTATGCTGTCTTATATATATAATATTATCTTATACTGTCTCCTAAATATAATACTGCCTGATACTGTCTCCTATATATATTATCTTATACTGTCTCCTACATATAATATTATCTTATACTGTCTCCTACATATAATACTGTCTGATACTGTCTCCTACATATAATATTATCTTATACTGTCTCCTAAATATAATACTGTCTGACACTGTCTCCTATATATATTATCTTATACTGTCTTCTACATATAATACTGTCTGACACTGTCTCCTACATATAATACTGTCTGACACTGTCTCCTACATATATTATCTTATACTGTCTCCTACATATAATACTGTCTGATACTGTCTCCTATATATAATACTGTCTGATACTGTCTCCTACATATAATACTGTCTGACACTGTCTCCTACATATATTATCTTATACTGTCTCCTACATATATTATCTTATACTGTCTCCTACATATAATACTGTCTGATACTGTCTCCTATATATAATACTGTCTGACACTGTCTCCTACATATATTATCTTATACTGTCTCCTACATATAATACTGTCTGACACTGTCTCCTACATATAATACTGTCTGATACTGTCTCCTATATATAATACTGTCTGATACTGTCTCCTACATATAATATTATCTTATACTGTCTCCTACATATAATACTGTCTGATACTGTCTCCTACATATAATATTATCTTATACTGTCACCTACATATAATACTGTCTGATACTGTCTCCTACATATAATATTATCTTATACTGTCTCCTACATATAATATTATCTTATACTGTCTCCTACATATAATACTGTCTGACACTGTCTCCTACATATAATACTGTCTGATACTGTCTCCTATATATAATATTATTTTATACTGTCTCCTACATATAATATTATCTTATACCGTCTCCTATATAATACTGTCTGATACTGTCTCCTACATATAATATTATCTTATACTGTCTCCTACATATAATACTGTCTGATACTGTCTCCTACATATAATATTATCTTATACTGTCTCCTACATGTAATATTATCTTATACTGTCACCTACATATAATATTATCTTATACTGTCTCCTACATGTAATATTATCTTATACTGTCTCCTACATATAATATTATCTTATACTGTCACCTACATATAATATTATCTTATACTGTCTCCTACATATAATACTGTCTGATACTGTCTCCTATATATAATAATATCTTATACCGTCTCCTATATAATACTGTCTGATACTGTCTCCTACATATAATACTGTCTGATACTGTCTCCTCTATATAATATTATCTTATACCGTCTCCTATAAAATACTGTCTGATACTGTCTCCTATATATACTACTCTATCTTATCAACAATACTGTCTAATACAGTCTCTTAATTGCACTACTGTCTTATACTAAAATATTCGATACTGACCAAAACTTCCTCCTGGATGAAACATTGATACTGATGCTTCATCCTCTTTATCAAAGCGTCTAACACTACATCGTACATATTGCTAGCTAGCTGCATTGGTGCAATAACTTACTAATTGATACACTGCTGCCACCTCCCATTCCTCCCATAGTGGAGAACGGATAGGAAGATCCACCCATCATAGAGCCACTCATTCCAACGCTTCCGGGATAATACATGGAACCCATACCGCTGCTCATCATGTTTCCGGGGTAATACGTGGAACCCATACCGCTGCCCATCATATAGTTTCCGGGGTAATACGTGGAACCCATACCGCTGCTCATCGTGTTTCCGGGGTAATACGTGGAACCCATGCCGCTGCCCATCATATAGTTTCCGGGGTAATACGTGGAACCCATACCGCTGCTCATCATGTTTCCGGGGTAATATGTGGAACCCATGCCGCTGCTCATCATGTTTCCGGGGTAATACGTGGAACCCATACCGCTGCCCATCATATAGTTTCCGGGGTAATACGTGGAACCCATACCGCTGCCCATGTTGTATGAGGGGTTATACATGGAACTTCCGCTCATACCTCCACTCATCATGCTGTATCCGGGATTATACATACCACTTCTCATCATACCTCCGCCCATTGTGTTGTATGATGGGTAATACGTGGAACCTCCGCCCATCATATTACTTCCGGAGTAGTACATCGAATTTCCGCCCATACCTCCACTCATCATACGACTTCCGGGGTAATACATTGAATTTCCCATCATCGACGATCCGCCCATGGAAAAGGTGCCAACAGCGGCTCCAACAAGCAGGCATAATAAAGTGAGAGCAAGCATCATGGTTGTTTAGGCTGAAATTAACAGCGAGAAACTTGTCCTGTGAATTGATTTGCAGGGCGTATGTAGCAGGTGAATATACCCGCGTGAGTTGAAACACAATTGAATTCAGATGCAGTTTTAAGCTAACTTTCTAATATTCAAATGGACGATTCATGAGTCTTTGATTTATTTTTACAAGAGGAAAACATATTCTGTTTAGAAGTCCCGTTCTGTCTTAAGATTTTATCAATTCTGGTTCTTTATATGAATCAATATTCCGAAATACACTCATAAGAAGGATTGTTTGCAAGAAATGTTAGAAAAACACAACTAGAAAAACTGGAATCAGATCACTGAGGAAGTAAGTGAAGTACTATAGGAGTTTTGATAGTGTATCATATCACTAACATTCCATGAACATTGTACAGTTAATGTTGCCCTGTAATAATGGATCATGTTAAGAGACAAATTACTATTCTCATTTTTCCTCGATTTTAGTTAAAATGTTTACACAAATGATTTTCAATAGCATTATGCAGATGATTTGGAGTACAGCTACAATTTAAAAAATATATATCGTTGGACTAAACATTAATCAACATTTAATACGAAGTATAACAGTGAATATACCATTGAAGAGACCGGAAGTGCCATGACTATAAAAGGAAAGAATAAATATTAGAAATGAGACAATTAATTTCTTATTTCGCTTTCTTTTTTAGTTAAAGATTATGTGAAAATCAAACAATGCATTGAGAGAATAAGCACATAAAACAATAATTGTACGCAAAACTTGACACAAGGAAATCTCGCTTAAACATCACCTCGTTACTAATTTACATACCACCAAATCACAAGACAAGAAAACGATGCGCGAAATCAGAAAATTAATAATGAAAAACGACCCAGTAAAAAGAACGAGACGAATAAATACCAACCCGAAAGATTTAACATTTAGACATATAGAAGGAGGACAAAATGCACCAACTCGTTAAGTAATCTGTTAGACATTATCCTAAAACCGCTATGTAAAGAGGTGAAAAGCTTCATACGCTACGATGTTGATTTTCTTACACACCTTCCAGAAAAAACTACGGACATATATGACAAAGCTAATGATACATATCAATATCTGTATTTTAGCTCATGGCACTCGAGACATACTCAAACGAAACATACCGTATAACTTAGCAAGAATTGTACACACAAAAGTCAGCGGAGAAAAGGGAAGAAAGGTCTGTCTACAAAAACTGTATAGATATCTGGAACAACAAAATTATGAACGAAAAATCAACAAGGCAAAAATAGTAAAAATCTAAAGCTAGACAGAAAACATTACCTCAAGTCAACAGAAAAAAATAATGCAGACAGAATAATACCACTGGTTACAACACGGAACTTTATATACCCAACTGTTAGCAACCTTAATAAAATACTGAGTAACGAAAATAAAAAAGGCAGTGGAGAAGTCTAGTCATCAACAGCAAAAGACAAACACCTAAAGTTTATAATGATAAGTAAGCAAATGTAAGGACTCCAGATGTGGCACATGTGAATTAATAGTAGAAGACAAATCGCACGATTTTAAAGGAAAACCTTTACAGTAAATTCGTCACTGACATGTAATACACAACATGCACTACATGTAACTGCGTGCCCAGGTTGTAATTAATACTATTTAGAGAAAAAAACTGGAAATCAGTGAAGAAGTAGAGTCCAACTACATAAACAACACATTCTCAATAACATAGAAAAATCAAACTAAGCGAACATCTTCATGAATGTGGGTAGAAGACCTTTAACATATTTCCTTTTTATAAGATGGGTATGGACACTTTTTAAGAAAGAAATGAGAATAACAAAAATATTTCATCAAATCCACCTCCCTCTGTATACTGTACTGTATCACCAAATATATGGCGTCACAATGTATTGATATTGTTGAGCACCGGAAGAAGAATACTGAAAGCGCTAATATCTTTGCTTACATATCTTTAAATTATTTCAAAGCAGACAATGTGAAAATTACTTTATACGTTTATATATATGTGTGTGTGTGTGTGTGTGTGTGTGTGTGTGTATGTGTGTGCCAATATAAACTCTGAATTCACAGTGTCCGGTGATATATATCTATATATAAATACTACTTAAATTTGATGACCGTAAAGAGATGGACAAAATTGGCCGCCTCCCTGGTAATACGTAACCTCCTATAGGTGTTTTTGGTCAATTTGTTATCTGTCACATCTGTAGAAGATCCTAATCCGATATCATTTGTAATACTTACAAAAAGATAGCACACAGAATGTAACATAAAAATTCACGTAAGGATAAATTATATATTGGAGTTCCTACATATGATACAACAACCGATTTTCGCGAAATGTTTCGAACATAAAGTAATACATATTTGTCCTTGGCCTAACAGTCAATTTCTGAACGAAAAAAAAGTTAGCATTTGCACAGGACTGAGTTTAATATTTATAAAATATTAATTTTCCGTTCCAAAACCCTCCTTAATTTCTAAAGTGCTATATCATGATAGTGTCCTGGTTTAATTCTGAGCATACTATACATATTGATAAAGTAACGTATGTTTGCTACTTACTTGAGGCGAGTTAGGCTGGGTGCTGAGCGGCTTTTGATGGAACTGACGCCAAATCTTAAATCTAAGCTTTTATACACTTCTCGTTCAATTTTTTAACACCAAATAGTTACAAGGAAACAAATTTTACAATTCATCAGTAGAGTCATGACATCAGCTTGTCTCTTTTAAATGTCACCGATCCATCGCTCTCCAACCGTACCTGCCTGGAAAGTCGACAAATACATTTAACCTTTGTAACAAAGACAAGAAAAATTAATTATAATCAACCCCAAAAAAACATGATCTTAGGTCTATGTCGATGTAAAAACATAACCACTGCTTTACCTCATCAAAGTATAGAAGAAAAAATATCAGCTATGAAAAATGTCAAAATTTCTTTCCCTACTTCCGTATCACCACCGCCGACATGATACAGCCCTGATCCATTGACAGCTGGGTTAACCAATTTTATGTGAAAATATCATTAAAATGATAAGGTTAAACAATTAAGTATTGATGATGTAGAAACACTTGAAACTTGAATATTTTAGTTCTGTATTTGGCATTTTGACCGAAACAGCGTTATAAAATTTTGATGTCTGCTGTTTTGATCTGTTTCAATATCATTTCCACTAGATTGATAGTCTGTGTCTCAGATTTCCTAATCTAGATGAATCGAAAAGATCCCCCTCCAACAAATAGAAATATCTGTCATGTGAATTGTACTATACATTACAATATCTATAACTGTAATTGTAACAACATTGATACAGGTACAAGTAAATGGTCAGACTGTTAGGCAGTGTGAATACTGCAGGCGGTACAATGTGTTCTGGATATAGGATCGAGAATATTGTATTCGCGTTAGAGTGTAGATTGAAACGTGGCTGTTATGTGAATACCGTTCATTGAAGACTTCCAGGTAGAAAGCATTTTACCATATAGTTTTGTTTTGACAAGTGTCCGATATAGTCATACGAATAGTGGTTGTATATACATACGAGGCCGTTATCGAAATATTCAATAGAAAGTAAATTACTGAAAAGTAGAAATATTATTTTCTTTTCATGAAAGAAAACCTGTTAAATACGGGTAGTTTTATAACTTTTTTTCAATTGTCTTTTTAATTTTTAATATTGTTTAATTTATTGGTAGTAGGCGTCAAGGTTTCGTCCTCACATATAGATCTCACTAATGTAGGTCATCAGTTATGATAAGATTTTTTTTTTTATTAATTTTACAAAAGTATATATAGAACAGCGTGATTATAGTAATTAAAGCTCTGACACGTCTATTTTCAACAAAAAATACATATATGTTTTAGTAATTTAGAAAGAAAATGCATCCGGTCTTCACGTTCCATGTCGTAATCAGGTCAGCGGAAACAGTCACGTAAGGGGCGGGGCTTGTATGACAGTAGTGACAAGCTACTACATGGTTGAACGTCAAGAAAGTGTTGCGTCGATGAATGAAAGATTTTTTGTTTTTTGTTTTTTTATGAGTATTATTGAAACCAGTTTCTTCCTCGTTTATTCACATTATTCGTTGGACATTTTGATATTTCCCTGTTGAGAATAACTTTACCCAGCTATACTACTATATGCATGATTGTGCTTACAGAGTGGGACTTTATAGCTGCATTTCTATTAAGTACACAAGAAATTAAAAAAAAATGACGAACTTAATGGTTATTGGAATAATTAAGAACATGTAAGCCAATTCCGTAATATGAGACAAATTTTAGTTTCTTGAAAACATTTTGTGTCGACTCGTGTAATTTCTGAGTAAGGAACGTTTCAAATGACGGTCTTTCTAACTGCAAAATCAATACATTTCCTGTTTTTAAAATATACTGATGATAACCGACTGTACATGGACGTAAATAATTATATAAGAAAATTCCTCCTCACGAAAAATTATCCCGATTAGTCGATAACATATGTCTGAAGCAACGCGTTGTTAGACCTTCTGCGCGACATCATTACTGTGACGATGTCATAGTCCGGATATTTTCGGGGCAAAAAACTAACCACAACTTAAGTGTGTGGGAGGGTTGTCAGACCATCTTAAGTTAAAGTCATCACTGTCAACATCACTCGTACCGCCAAAACCAACAAAACCCATTCATGAAAAAACTAATAATTATATCCGTCAGTTTGATTTATCGTCTCGTACTCTTACGTGTCTGTCACAACAGATCTGCAGTTCCACAGAAGATAGCTAGAGTGTTTTTTCTTCAACGGAGCGAATTATAGGGAGAAAAAGAAAGAAAAAAGAAAATATTTCCTTTTGAAATGAATACTAGTTATCACGATAATTTAAACATTTTACCCATGATTAAATGTTGAAATCACTAATCAGCAACGTTACCCGTCAAGTTTTCACTGCACATAAAGACAGATGCAGGGCTGTACTTCCGTGCATCATCTCCTGATCTTGATTTTCTCTACAGTAATTTGATCACTTCATTGATGATTTCTTGTAATGACGAATGATTAATGAATTTCAAGATGGGAGTGATACATACGCATTTTGAGAAAGACCACGTGCATTTTCTGAAAAGGGCAAAGAAAAAGCTTACCTGGTGGAATTTCCTCGATATCCTCCCTTACAAAAAACAGTATTGTAAAAATGATAAACAGGATTCAAAACAAGATGTTTTATTTCTTAAATCAAAAACAAATCTTTATGACAGAAATCAATGGAGTTTTATGCTTAACAATCACATATACAACAAAAACTGATCAGATATATTCGATTACATGAATGTGAATTTCATTACAAAATACTAATAGTGATTTGGAGGGTTTCACCTCATATCAAAGTATGACTATTGACAATGGCACCTATTCGGAAAGTGATGTACCGATTGGAAATGTGTTGCGTTTTGCAAATAATCAAACGATTCGTTTGAAAACATATATTTGATATTAAGTGAAACGTGTGGACGTTTGCCCAGTGTTACTATAGTTGCCCGACATTCAATAAACACTAAACAATGTCAGATATATTATTTTTCAACTTTATGCATTGTACAATTACGTTTTTCATGTAAAGTAAAACTGTTTTGCCGTCAACAGACACCACGCTATATATCACAATTGAAACTTGAATTTACAACACAATGTTGTAAAAATTGAAATTTGAACCCAGTTTCACGCTCTTCCACTTAACCCCCATAGAAAAGTATTACGTAAATTAAGGAAGTTTCCTTCATGATAATACTTTCCTATGAGAAATTCTATGCTCAGGAAAGTTTCTACCGTTAAGGAAGATTCATGAAACTGGAGCATGGTCTACCGTTTAACTCCATGTGGGTCGAGCAACAATATTGTCAGAAAATGAAAAGTTAACGGAATCACCGATAAATAATTTTGTTTTAGAAATATCAATAAACAAATGCTTCATTGTGAAACTTCAAAATGATATGTTTTTCTTCAGCTATAGGAAATTGAATATCACACATTCACTTGCTTTGGTACGGGTATTTCAACATTTCTTCTGAAAGATAAGTTCAGTATATAAAAACATAATAGTTGAAATATTATGCGATCACATAAAATCAAAACCGGATTTAAACATCCGGTTGTATTTTAATGTCAATATATCAAAACCATCAAATGTACATTACATTTGCTTCATATAGTAATTTGTAGCAAAAATATACGATAATCCGTATAACATACAGCGAGGCAATGGAATCAAATACTTAGGACGGAATCATGGCCGGTTTAAAATGTATGAGTTAATTTGAACAGAGAGAATGATGAAACTAATAAGTAATAATCAACAGTATAGTAAAACAAACTAAAACTATATCATTGTTATGTGATATAAATAATAACAAGACAAAGTGCCAGTAAAGAGGACGGATTAAATTAATCATATATATTCAAAATTTACAATTGATGACTAGTATATTCTTAACAATGACGGATACGAAAATTGAATATTTGTCATCTTAACATTTTTTATATAAAAAAAGTTGTCCATCACTTTCCAGTTCCACCATAGCATGTCAAGACAACATGCGGAGGAAATGTAGACTTTCAATACATCAATTACCTTGTTTTTAAACTGGGCTTCCTTACACTTTTTGTACGTTTCTGATGCCTCACTTGGTTCAAGAGAGATGAAGATGCAACTTTCTATCAAATACTGCTACAGTATACTATACTGAACAGCAGGTAGATGACATTGCGAGATGAATTTCAGTTAATACGCTATCAGAATAAAGAATATCGCAAAATGAAGGTAGCTTAACGCATCGGAATGTATTAACATACGAAGAAAGGCTTCTAACAACAACACAAGTCTTATCCTCATCAACATATATTTTAAACTCTCCACGTAAAGATAGCATTAAACCTACATGGCAAGATATCTAATTGGTGAATTAAATGTAAAAAATGGTGTAGTAACTGTCTCCATCTCTACCTTACTTTATATAAAGCAGTGTACTCGTAGAGATAAATTCAAATGAATTAGAGTGCAGTATTCAAGCATTTTAAGCTATCGTTGAATTATCAAACATGGAAAACATTCACATTCATACAATAGGTCTCATGGATTTTGAATGTGTTATCTAAATGTGGAATGTTTTTGGCAATTCCTTTTCGATAATGAATATACAAATTAAAAAATGAAATGAAGAATATCTATAAAAGTTTCCCATATATCATTTTCTTTAACATGCAAAAAATCTTTCAGATCAATATCCTTCTGTTTTGAAGTGTAGCTTTAAATCTAAACAATGCCAATAGGTAATTCAAAACATCGAAGTATTTTAAGCGAAATTAAAACCTTACTATATAACAGCGAAAGTAATGTACCTAATAAGTTTCCAAATTTATAGAATGTTAAACGTTTTAAAATTTATAAAGAACTAATGTTAAACTAAATTCACCTGTTGAGTATACTACTTGAACATTTGTATTGATTATCTGGTGTGTAAGTTAATCACTCTTGGAACCACTGCATCCTAAATATCTAAACTTTAGAGTCAAATTTTCATACATATATTGCAAAATATATCAATGCAGGTGATAATTGTCCATGTTTGTTACAAATCATGTTACATCTTTCTGACAGGGCAATGCTTCAATATACATTTCATATCACATCATATCAATATTACATTTGTCACAGATCATAAGATTATCCAATAGTAAGACTGGATTATCGCCAGGAAATGACAAAATTAATAAAGTTAGACATGCTTTTAATGCATATATGTATTTAAGTTCAAACCAGAATATTGCTCTGTAAAAAGCAAGTTTACATTAAATATTGTTTTTAATCATGATGACAGCGATCAATAAATGAAACCATCATGAAATAGTCATTTGTGTTCATGTTTGTGATTTTTGTAAGGAAGCATTGACATATTTTATTTGTAAATTATTTAGTTAATACAGTCAAACCTGCCAACAATTATATCTAATCACATGGAATCTGTTGATGAATGATATACATGTACATAAGGCTTTCACTTACATGTAGGCAGATTTAATTGTAACGAAATGAAGGGATAGCACAACACTCCATCTTATGTAACCAAGTTTGTAAATAATATGAGGATTATACGGTGATTTTATTGACATTATCCTTGTTCTTTCTAGTTCCTTCAAGTACTCCACTCTAAACTACATGTATACTGTAACTATTTAGGGCACAGAGAAACCTTAATACTCTCCTATACTTTCAATAATAAAGATAATTAAGTGAATCAAAATGTCAAATATTTATAAAGGTTAAGATTTATACTATACCCATAAGTTCTAATAATTCTTTATCAAATTGCCAAAATGAAGTGCTATTTTCCAATAATAAACAAACTGCAAACTATTCAGTATACACTGCTGTGTCAATGCCTGCCTCATTATCATTTTATAGAATGTCACTGAGATACATGTACCTAGGTATATAAGTTTACAAAGTCCTCAGATATCCGGTTGTCTCGTCCTGACGATATTGCTTCATCCGCACACCAAAAAACATGTATGTGTTTGGCCTACCAATCTACTGCGGCGTACGCCTGGAAGTTTGGACCATTCTTTTCCGGTTCATCGGCATGACCCACTTTGTTTCTGAAAAGGCATTTTAAAACAATATTTTAGACTGGTTGATACAGGAGATAATGTGGACGATAGAAAAGCTTACAAATCATTGTGTCTCGTGTATCCTACATACTCCTTATTGTCTACAATTTATTATAATTTGTCATTGACCTCGATGTTGCACAATGGTTAATCTAAATAAAAAACTTTAAATGACGAAAAACACAATGGCACTGTAAACCCATGCCAACGGTTTCGACTTTACAGCTTGTGATATATTGATGTAAACAAACTTAAGCATAACTGAATTTCCTGTCACTGCAGATTGAAAGCATCACTGATTTGGCATTGCCACAGTTAAACCAAATATTTCTCAAGAAATTGACATTCATGTACTAACATTTTCTAACACTGAAAACATGATTACACTTAACCAACTAGATTATTTTGGCTTGTCAGTATGTGGAGCAAAATCTTTGGAATACCAGCAAACACACATAAAAAAAGACTTATATCTATCTGACATTTACTCAGCAATTAAATGCATCACTTTTAGTTTGTCACTTTCAGGGAATTATCATGGACACAACATGTTAAGATATTTCATAACAGAATGTAACTCATTCTTGTTGATAACACAATGTCCTTCATTTTGGACCAATGCGGTAATTCAACATGCATATCGTGCATTACGCATCCATTCTTTCTGACCTGAAGGTCATGTATCATGTCATGAGTGTATTTGTGCTTATTACCATAGTTGACTTAACAGAAAGAAACAAGTAGATGATCTTACAATATATAATAGTTCATTTCAAGACCGATCAGTGTTGAGAAAATATATATCAAAAGTGTGGAAGTGCTGAGGTTAGCATTAAATCAACACAATAATGTTTGTCAAATGAGAATATTCATGTTGAACAGTTAATTGTTGCTATCAACGTTCCGTGCATCTGGCCAATATTTAATCTTATCCACAAACTCTACTTGAAACTGATGTTAGTTTCAGAGGGCGACACTGCCACATCTTTGATAAGTTACACACATTAGTAATTACATGACACAACACACATGTTATCAATAGCATTAGGAAAACAATTAGAAATCATACACAATATGGTTAATATGTCATAAACGTGAACTGATTTCACAGTAATGTTAACAACAGGTACTAAATTATAATAATATCTAAGTAATCAGTTAACTGATACAAGTTATAATCATGCAACACTTCAAAATGTTAACATGTAACCCTTTCTTCCATCTTCTGTATTTCCCATACATCCTCCGAAATACTCTCCCAGAGACACACAAGATGGCCACCACAATGCAAAACCCTCTCAGAAACAAACAAGATGGCCACCACAATGCAAAACCCTGCCAGAAACACACAAGATGGCCACCACAATGCAAAACCCTCTCAGAAACAAACAAGACGGCCACCACAATACAAAACCATCCCAGAAACACACATTAAAGCCAACTATGCACAAAACACTTGTTTGAGTTCTTGTTAAAGTTCAGCAAGCAGGAACACAATACCTTTTAATTGGTTTGACAACATTATCAAAATGGAACCTGGAAAAAACATGACATAGTAGGTTTTGGTGAGTTACTTACTACCTTTGCAGTGTGTCATTGTTGTTTAGCTCTTTTCAATCGATCATTCTTTAAGTAACCAATAGCTGAGATACAATTGTACCGAGAGCTCAGTACTATACTCTATTACTTACCAGTCTTGTTTTACTATTCTCTTCCATACAGAATTAAAATCTTTAAATGCATTGAAAAATTGATTACATTAAACAGGGAAATTGATGATATTCATTTCTTGGGATGAAATCCATGAAATTGTTTAATATAAACATAACTCACCCTTTGAATACAGGTCTAGCATCATTTCTGTAAAGTTGAACAGGACATTTATCATTGAGTTTACTTGAAGACAAAACAATGAACATATACACCATAATGATATCAATAATACTAACTGACACTTTAATGATATCAATAATACTAACTGACACTTTAATGATATCAATAATACTAACTGACACTTTAATGATATCAATAATACTAACTGACACTTTAATGATATCAATAATACTAACTGACACTTTAATGATATCAATAATACTAACTGACACTTTAATGATATCAATAATACTAACTGACACTTTAATGATATCAATAATACTGACACTTTAATGATATCAATAATACTGACACTTTAATGATATCAATAATACTGACACTTTAATGATATCAATAATACTGATACTGACACTTTAATGATATCAATAATACTAACTGACACTTTAATAATATCAATAATACTGACACTTTAAATATATTATATGTAAATGTATATTTCAAGAGTTTTTGCTTTCTTATGACAAACATAAAAATAAACATAAAATACATTGAAAATAATGCAGCATATTGTTCCAAAATTATAAACAATATATATTCAATATTACTGATATCAGAATATATTTTTTAAAGGCATTATACATTTTTATAAAGGATATAACAAAAGATAAATTAAACATGCAAAAAGTAAAACGAATAGAACAAAAACACATAATATGAATAATGAAGTAATTGAATGAAAACAATTTCAACGTGTTTCAACCTGTTTCAATCAGGTTACTTGCCTTCATTCAAAATCTGCCCTGACGTGTTTTAAACCTAGCAATCAATCAGTTTAGAAGTAGATAAATTAATTTGACATTGAATGTGTATGTATGAAATAAAATTCTGCTAAAGCACAATTTTTCTTTTTATCAAACTTTTGACAAATGATTATACGTCAACAATTATTTATCAAAACTGATTTAGTGCCTACTTAGTAATGACTAATGTGCGTGTGTTGTATCAAGATTATGTGTGTAACATCAGGACACAACATAGTTATGTAAGTCAATGTCTCCTGTATTTACTACAGTATGAACGGATATTCTACATTTGCTCAATAAACAAAAATGCATATTTGGTATAAAACGTGATGCACATATCAGACAAATATTCAATAAAAACAAAAAATGAAAAATTTCTTGCAATTAATACTTATATCAAACAACATGTACTGCTGATAAACTTTCAAAAAATAACTGGAGATAATCACTGCCTGTAACAAATGAAAACTCAGCCTAAGAGAGCAAAACATTTCAGACTATCACTATAAGTTTTCTTAGCATTTCAACAGTTCGTTCTCTCAGCCTACCTCTTTAATATTCTTTAGGCATTTTAAGGTGATATTCTTTCAGCTAATCACAATGGATTTCTCTAACATAGTAAGGTTCTCTAAGCCTATCAAAGTGAGTCAATCAACGTGGATTCCTGTTAGGGTATTACAATGAAGTTCTTAATCAATATCACAGTAAGATTCCCTCAGATAGTCACAGTGATCACAGTGAAGATCTATCTGCACATATCACAGAAGAGTGTATTCTCTCAAAGGATAACTAAGGTTCTCTCCACCTATCATAGTGAGGTTATCTTTGTCTTTTACAGTAATAATCTCTCAGCCAATCACTAAGGAGTTTTTACAGTAACATTCTCTCAACCAATCATAGAGGACTTCTCTTAGCCTTTCTCAGTGTGATAATCTCAGGATATCAGCGTATTATTTTCTCAACCTATCACATTAAAATCCTCTCAGCCAATCAGAATGAGGTTCTCTCAGCCCATCACATTGAGATTCTCTTAGCATATCACTGTGGTGACCTTTCAGCTTTTTTATGTAGAAATTCTCTCGATCATAAAATGCTGTCTTTGTGATATTAAAATTATCTTGTTCTATCAAAATATTTTAAGCTACTCTATGATGGTCAATCCATCCTGTTGATCTGCTTTTCTAATCGGACATTCATAACTGACAAGTTGTTTGAAGAAGGTCACCAAGGTGACTTGTAAAATATAAACAAGAGACCTAGCAGCCTTGATGGTCACCTGAGATAAGCAATAATGAATATAAAGGTCAATGGAAAAGAAGCTTTCAATGTCGTGAAAAAGAAATTGTGACATTGATGATAGTAAGCCAGTGTCAATATATGCATACAATCAAAACTTTCATCTTATACTAATAAAGCTTACAAAGTTATTTCCACAATGTTATGCTCAAAAATACATTTTTTTCTACAAAATTATAGTAAAGTGAACTTCCTCTCCAATGTGAGAGTTATTTTGGTAATTAAAGCACCTCAAGATGCTTTCATCCAAGAAGAGCACATGCTTTGACCATACCTGGGTCTGGAGAAGAAGATTTTGGAAATCTGAGTTAATTTGACCCCATTTCGCCCTGCCTAACAGCCCCGGAGGGTCAGTCAGGATCAATCTATTCACACCATCTAGCAGTAACCCCTCATTCATAATCATAACCAAGTTTAAGATATTTCCAATGGAAATTAAACAAATCATACTCAAAAATCTATTTTTCCTATATAAACTATAGTAAACTTTACTTTGAAATTCATATTTTTGTAAACCACCTTAAGATGCCTCCATTCATGAAGAGCATTTGATTCTACCATATCTGGATGTTGAGAAGAAGTTTTTTGAGATTAGAATAAATTTTAACCTTTTGGCCCTGCCCTTCTGGCCCCCATGGGGTTAGGACCACATAATTCACTGTTTTGTTTTATCTTAGGCCAGGAAAGGTTTCTGCAAAATTTCAATGAAATCGGTTCAGGAGATTTTGAAAAGAACTCAAAAATGTTTATGGACACATGACGCCTGATGAAGGTGATTGCAATAGGTCACCATGAGACTTAATCTCAGGTGACCTAAATATAAACTGCTTATTCTGTAAACCATCGACTGAAATATGCCAATATATCTTAAGGTGTGAAAAATGTAAATGTGAAAACACTAGAAAAGTATTATTTTGGGCTATATGAATACAGAAATGTGCAAATTATATAAGATATACATATACTACAGGTCCAACAATACCCTTGAAATACATGTATCATATTTCAAATAACAAGAACACTTTGTACTCTTTATCACCAAAAGCGTACACTACAAAATAACTCAATGAGTAAAACGACAAATATGTGTCTGCCGTTTCTTTAAGATTGAACGGCTGCTTTTATATAAAAATTTCCCCAAAGCATAAGTCACCACTACTGCAATAGCTTAATAACAATACAAAGTTTCAAGTAATTATCTTGTATGGTTTCAGAGCACTGGTGGAACTGCCTTAGAGAAGATTTATTATGCCAAAGAATAAAACTTTAGTACAATAACAGAAATTGTATAATTATCTGAATAGGTTTTCATTAATTTTTCATATTTGCGGTTTATATATAAGCAGTGGGTAAATTATATATGTAGTATTAAATTACAAAACAGCATGGATTTCAAGCTTGGTTGCTGGACCTGTCATTGATAATCATTGATGCATGTAATTTGCTGGACTTACGAATTTTTACTTGTTGCAGAGGCAGGACGCGATCTGACCTTGTCAGATATGTGAGTAAATGCAGAGTGTGTGGATAATTTTTCATTTTGGGATTTGTTGCTGAGAGCAGAGGGTGGACGTGATTTGTTGTTAGCCGATCCTGGTTGTGAAAATGTATGTGCTATCTGATCATAGTTTGCCTCTGAGAAAGATCTTTGCTTAAGATCAGCACTATCAAGACTTGGGTATAGTTCTGATGGAAGTGGTGGTTGTGCAAGTACTGAATCTGGGGCAGGTGTATTTAAATCTGTATTGTTTGGTGAAGTTTCTAAAGGTGGATTTGTAGAACCATCAGATACAATGTAAACAGCAGTATTGCCAGCTGTGTTAGTGGTGTCACTGAAACAGTATGATCAGACACAACTGAAACTCTGTATCTACAGTTTGAATTCTGCTAATGTAAGTATTCTTTAACTTTACACAATGACTGGTCATTCGTTGTATTTGATCAACTGATCTTGAGTAAAATCTCATTTCTTTCATTAGTATCTCACGAAAGACTACTAATACTATATCATGGTATAAAATTTCTACAGTTGAACAACTTTGTCTTGTGACAAAAAAAAATTCATGATATAAGATTGTTTCCATAAAAATTCACCTATTCATGCTAAGAATGTCACAACCTAAATCATTTGTGTTTTAACAATAAACAGTAAATATTTGAAAGAGTTGAAATTTTGCTGTCAAATTGCCTCTTTGCTTAGAAAAGCATAAGTTAAATCAGCATGATAGTTAATATGTGGTCTTACCTTTTGAACTCAGCCAATGAATGTTTCCTGTAAGAAAAATTAAGATAACTTATCATATTGTACAATGGTGAGTATGCCATCTTATGTCATGTTTAAACAAAACATTTTACCTGACTTGGGAATTTTATAGATATACTCCTTTCCTGCTTCAGGAAATGTTAATTACACATCTTTATGAGATATATAATTTTAACAAGCTTTTTATTTTGAGAGTGGTCGAATGTAACTTTTGACCTTTACCCTAATGGATGACCATCAAAATATAACAGCTTTAATACTTGATTTGAAGCTGAATTTATAAAGCAGGCTTCATGAGATACCTTGTACACGAACCTTTTAATTTTACTATAGGTGTACTCAAAAATATATGTATGGATGAAGGCGTAAACAATCAACCCACCCATCACACTCTCACATTTTTCTAAGTGTAGTAGTATAGTCAGCGCAATTTCAGTATTTCACTTACTCATTGAAATCTGTATGGTCCTCCAGATTTTCTTCAGGTTCCAATTCCTGCATTCGACGGAAGTGTTTGGCAAGTTTGACAGCAAATATGATACTTGGAATGAAGAAAAATATACACCATCCCATGCCAAACCAAAATCCATTCTGTAACACCAGAAAAGTTTATCTAAAATGAAATGTTCTCCACCTACTGCAATAATATAAGAAATCATCAAGACCATTATGACTTACAGGTCAAAAATGATGGCCATTATGATCACTTTTGAACTGACATACATATTAATTTGAAAAACAACATAATTACAATACTTGTGTAACAAATGAGCAAATTCTGATATTTGAAGTGTAGAAGCACATACAGCTCTATTTAAGAAGTTTAACATATCCAGCTAAATAGTAATATAACTTTTGTTTATTATTCAAAAAAATTAAAGTGATATTGACCTGTCAATGTAGATAAAATTGACTCATACAGTTAACATCTGCAGCATGCAGCTGCATACATTGAAATATCCACATTAACATTGTACTGAGTTAAGTTATACATACCAAAGTATCCACAGTATATCCACATAAGGTTATAACAAACAAGTTGTTGTATAAATTCCATATAGGGTCACATTTCCCCAATTCAGATCTCAGCTGAAAAATAAAATCAACATTTGTTGACATTTATGGTTGACTCTTTTCTGTTTATTCATTTGATATGGATTGGTTTGTTTATAGATTGAGGTTTCTATCAAATACAGATAAAAAGCTAGCAGAAGGAAATGTCATTTGTCACATTATCATCAGGCACATATTTTCAAGAATCAGGAATAAATGTTTTCTATGGAAATGTAGCCTATGATTACAATCATTTGTAAACCTGAATATTGTACTATAATGATTAGTATGCCTTCAGCAAAAAATTTGAATCAGTGAAATTCAAAAATCAAAAATGAAAATAAAAACATCTTTCAACCTTATAGTGAATTTTTTTTTTTTTTTTTTAACCAATATTTTCATGCAGTTTTTCAAAGCACATACACATGACAATATAACATTTTCACAGCACACTTATCCATAGATCTTAATAAAAACATTAATATAAAAACTTTTCATATGAGACATTTATATACCATACACCTGTACATAGAAATTCATATCAACAATTAATACCTGACACTTGTATACAACCACTTGTATCAAGCATTTCATATATATTATAAATTCATAATTCATGATTTCAAATACACTGTGTGTTCATGTAAAACATGAACACTTCATGCACACCAAAGATCTGTAATAAAAGAGTTCATATACACTATACATCCATATGGAAACATTAATGATTTGATATCTTATACACATCAGTTCTGTTCACTGAAATATTCACCTCTATACATGATGAACATGTAAAGAAGTGTTCATACATACATATAAATAGCTCTCACACTATCATTCAATAAGCAAATACTTTAGAATGATAGTTATTTATTAATGCATTAATGCCTAAGATTTCAATCGATCCAACATGTCAGTTTAGAACAATGAAAGAAAACTAGGCATACTAGTCATGTGTTGTGGTAATTTGAAAGAAATTGGGTAGATACAATTTCTACTTGCATCACCATGAGAATAATATGGGTTTATTTGTACATAACTGATAATGACTCAGACCTCTACATAGAATAAAATGTCATCATGATTTAACATTTATTTAAGACTTGATTAAGTTCAAAAAGATATATACTTACAGCAGTGAAGAGTTTGCTAATGAAGGAATCAATGGTAGCAAATATCCTGTTTGCAAAACTAGATGCAAGCTGTAGAAAGAAAATCAAGTATATATTTAGTTCCCTTTCCAGAAAACATTGTACATTGTTAAAAGAATATATTGCTGAAAATATGTTTCTTCAATACATTGAAGAAAAGGAAAGCTATGAACATATGAACAACTGTTTAGAAAAGAGTATTATAGTGAAGTATTGACATAAGAAGATTACTGACCGAAGTGAGAAGAGATGAAGTGTTGGCTTGTATATATTGCTCCGTCTTGTTTAGGCAATCAATTACTTCATCTACCTTAGCCTGTAAAACAAAATCTTCCTGTTATCAATAGAGAATATAATTTTTCATTTATTTGATAACCCATTTTGCCTGCAACACTATACCAGCTTGACTGATTACCTTTTTTGTAACAAGTGATAAAAAGGGTATTCCATTCAAAAGAACAAGGTATTGCTGAATAGTATTAACCCCTAGAAACTGCTGATTGTTTAGTGACTGTTTCACAACTTTTGAATTTGATCAGTCAAAGGGAACTCAAATTACTGAGCAGAACTCACTACAGTATGTTAATAACATCAGATTACCTTTGGTCTTTTATAAATTCAATTGTAAAATACAGAACCTCCTTTTACTCAGACAAGGTAGAATAACCCATTACTTACTGCTGTGCCATTGACTGTTGCTTCCATTGTATTTAAGTCAGTTGTAAGATTTGCCTGAAAAAGATGAAAAAATAAAAAGTTGACAAAATGTGCCCCTGGCAAGCTGGTGTTAGTGACTATCAAGTAATCATGGCAAAGTTGAAATTTGTAAGAATTGGTATCCTTACATAACACGCTTGCTATAACACAGTTATCAAATGAAGATGAGTTACTCTGAAAATAAAGACTCTCTTTTTATGTATAACCGAGGGGAAGTGGTCTTCAACCAAACCATTTCCGTCTATGTAATAGTTACAGAAACACTAATATATTTTGAGGCTATTTTGTATTTCTTAGTCTTTACTGAAGCAACAGAATTGATCTGCTAACACAGGAATCTAAAGAAGTTTAACTTATTGTCATTGTATAATTGAAATGGTCTGCCAACTGTTAATTTATATATCATACTTGCGACCTTTTTTTAAATTTCTGCGGGGGCGATGACACAGGTTCTAAAACTTGAAGTCCCATGAAAAGAATTTACTGACAATGTTTTGACAAACAAGGGTTAGTAAGCTGTCTTTTTGGGGTTCAAACTCAATTTGGTCCAATAAATACACAGTTAAAGTCTTCCTTCAAAATAGGAAGGGATGGGAAGTGAGGGTATATAACTGTATAACATACCACAGCCTCCTGTAAGGCAGCCACTTCTGTACTCTGTATGCTATCCAGTGTGTTAGCATGATTGTTTAAGTTGACCTGCAAAATAAAAAACAAATCTAGTGTTAAAAATACTGATTATTAAACTTCATTTTCTTATAAAAATATGCAAGCATGGCAAATGACAAAGGGAAACCTACATTCAACATTTGAGACAATCAAAACTAGTAATTATAGTATTAATACTGACAAAATATTACCTGCCTTCAACTAGCTAATACAAACCCACAATGCAGTATAAATATGTATTTTTATCCTGTCACATACTTCATGCATAATATTACACAAATACACCTGATATATACATATGAAAACTAATATAACCTAAAAATTTATCACTTCAAAGAGCTGGCTTACTGCATAACATGTCAAATGCCAATTTAAGACTCCTGAATTTTAAATTCACGTGAGAGTATGTATTCTCTTTTTCAGCTAGATGTGCATATATTATCTTTCATAAAAATTCATAGTGGCTATAAAGCAGTCTATCAGAAATCTATGGGGCATTAACCACTTGATTCAGAAAAACATCTTTCAATATGGTTGAATATCTAAATAAAATTTGAGCACTGCACTTTTTAAATTATGTAGCTCTTCACTATTAAGAAAGCAAAACATGGTCACTGCAAAAATATGAACAATATGATATCTAATTTTATTTCTCACTTGTAGTACAGCTTCTCCACTGGAACCAGCTGTAGTAGCCAAAGTTCTCAAACTATCTGCAAATTCTGTCAAGTTAGTCTGTGTAAGGTCTTTGTTAAGCTAGATTGTATTAAAAGGAAATGAAATAACTGTAAGTACATTTTCAAAATGAACAATATAAATATTACACCAAATTCAGTCTTAACTTTAGGTTAACCATTAACACCCGATTACAAATTCATAGATACCAATCTTTTTATATGTGTACAGGATCAAAAGGCCTTTTGTCATGATACTACACAAATAGCAGTGCCTGTAAGTCATGACAAAATACTTTGCAAAATTTCAATTCACTACATCAGGCCAAAAATAATTTAATTAAAGTATATGTTTATTTAATTCTTTATCAGTTACCATATTCTGAAAACAAAACCATTACATTTTTACAAATTTACTATCATAACAAGAGGTCCAAGGGCCTTAATGATTGTTTGAGTTTTATTTGTACATGAAATGCAAATGTAAAATCGGCTTAACATAAAATTCTTATCTCATGTTAAAGATTCTTACAAAGTTCAAATTATACCAAATGGAAATTAAAGAAATAATGCTTCAAGCTGTAGTAAACATTACCTTATCCATGGGAAAAAATGTACGTAAGACTCTGGGGTCATCAAATTCATAATTTTGTTAAAACAACTAAAGATTTTCAACTCATAAAGTATATTTGATTCTACTGTATCCGGATCTTGAGAAGAATATTTCTTAAATTTGAGTCAATCTTAACCTGATACTAAAAATTGTACTTTATAGTTTAAAGTTATTTCCAATGGATATAATAAATTTTGCTCGAAAATGTAAATTATGCTGAAAAGAATAAATTTGCCAAGAACTATTGTAAATTGTAACCCCTCCCAGAGGGAATTGTGTAGCCCTGGAGTCATCAAATTCAAAAGTTTGGTACCAAAAGCAATAACATTGAAACTGTACAAATACCTCTGATTGATAGGAAGAAAAATCAATATCCACGGCTGTTTTTGTATCCTCCAGGTTAGATAACAGGTCTGGTGTCAGAATACTAATACTGGTGAAGTCAACAGCATCATCAATCTTATCCAGCTCCGACTCAATGTCAAATTCCTATACACAATAGGTATTAGTAAAGTATCAAAAAGAAGCATATCAAAAGCAGATGTGCATCATATTAAATTATAACAGTCATATATCAAATGATGATATTTTGTAAAATCCTTTGAGATAGCAGTTAAGTTAAACTTGTTGGTGAACTTTAGTCCCTGTGGTATATTATTGCACTGATCACCACATTTGAATGAAATAATTGAATTTTGATAACATTTACAAAGTTAATCAAATTATGAGATCACTGTACTTTCCAATTTATATTTTGAGATAATTTCTGCCTATTTTAATCTTCTTAAAATGCCTTCAAGATACAACACTTAAGGCCCCTATTAATGTAGCTTAATTGAATAGCTCACTGAGAGCTGCAACATATTTAAATGGCAAATTTATGTCATACTGATGTAGATCAAATAAGTAAGTAATCCTCCTTTCCTGCACAAGTCAATCTCCAAAATATATTTCCATTGGAAAAAACTAAAGAGAAAAATATATGAATATGGTAAAACTAATGGAAAATATTCCAGATGCTTTCATTTTTTCAAAATGCTGTAACATCACTTCTACACCTGTCATCCTCAAAGTTCCAAGGGTTACGATCATGAGCGCTGTGCATCTATTGATTGTACAGAAGAAAGTGGTTGAGGATGTACTCATGGGGAAGAAATGTTTACACAAAGTTATCAATAAACAGAATAATTTGAAAAGAATCTGTATCCTATTAAGAAATGTTGTAATTCCAAACCTTTATTGAATGTATATATATATATAAATAAGAGGGTTTAAGATGCATGCATATTTCTTAAGTCAGTAAGCACTTAAAAACATTAAGTTTTACTACCGATGAAGGGAAGGTGTGAACGACACACTTACTATAGTATTGAACAAAGTATTGATACTATTGTATTGAAGTATTCAAATAATCGAGTCAAGTATACAACGACCTCTGTGATTGGTCGGGGGCGGAGTTTAGACAACCTGAATAGTTGATCTGACATCCAATTTGTTCCGGTAGGCAGAGTTAATGTACACTATCAGTTACATAACAATTACTAAGTAATCGCTGGAAAAATGTCCGACGACGGCAACAGTACGCAAAATTTTCTTCGACGAAATTATGTCCGATATGAACGATATGGGGAATCCTGTTTTTGTACAAGGCGATGTGGTTGTGATGGATAATTGTGGATTCCATCACCATAGACAGGGAGAGCGCATTTTAAGAAATATGCTGAAAGAATATGGCGTGTCCCTGGTTTTTCAGCCGCCTTATTCCCCGGAATACAACATAACTGAATATGTATTCAATGTCATGAGACAGAGGCCTCGGGCGAATACCCGACATGTGTCAGAATTTCTGGAACTTGCAGTAGTAAATGCTCTAGATATTCCGCCCAACCAACTTCAAAGTTTTTTCACATGTTGCCGATATGTATAATTTTCGATGGAAAGATAAAAATAAAATAAAAAATATATGGGACCACAGAATTCCTTTATCTTTTAATGCAGTATGAATTATCGGCATATATCAGGAGGTCCCAGGTAAATCGTAATTCTTTGTTACATATAATAGAGCTTGGGCTTAAACCCAAATATTTTGAGCCAACCCTCCCCCCCCTTTCAAAAAAATAAATAAATAAATAAAACTAGTACAGAATGACTATATGACTATATTCACTGTTAAGATGTTATGAATTCTCCGGTCCAGTGATCTAACCTGTTGATATATATTTTGTACGTAAATTAGTTTAGTACTGAGTAACTTTCGTTTTCTCGTTGTACCATCGATGGAAAAGCAAGGTATCATTGGGTGTAGAACGAAACAAATGGGACAACCCAATTAGGTCTGATCTGAAGCCACCTGTGACTTGGACTCTTCCAATTAACCTCTCGTGACAGTCGAGTGTTTGTAAAATGCCGATGTCTGCACAGTATTTTTTCACCTGGCTCCACCCACAATCGATCTAGACTTGGCTCTGCCAATCAGAGAGCTTGTTGCATAAATTTAAGGAATTCGATTGGTGAAGTACTTCAGTACAATACTATCAATACTTTGTTCAGTACTACAGTACTTGAAACGTTCACACCTTCCCTTCATCAGTAGTAATGTGGAACGCCAGGGAAACTGCATTAAATGAGTTTCTTGTTACCGTTGAGTTTAAAATGAATTTTTATTTGTGACTACTTACTGTTCTATAGTTGTCTATCTGTGATGTGTTGACATAGGTATCAGCCTTCAAGGCAGCGTATACAGTCTTACTGGCTTGACAATCTCTGTAAAATTAACCCACATTTATTGGTTCAGATTAAAGGATTTAATTTAATCATGAAACACATGACTTTGATAAACTGTACTGGAGTTAATGTTCTTTGACCTTACTAAAGGTATGACACAGAAACACAATATAATTTTCAGATTAATGTCCAGTGTGCTGAATTAGTCAAGAACAATCATGTTGTCATGGAAACAGAGGTCGGTTTTTGCATGAGCACATGTTCATGTCTTACTGAACCTATTTACAAGTTCAAGATTTTAATCCGACGCAAACCTTTAGGTGAGTGTCATGTCAAATTACTGGGCAAGCTCAATGAATACAAATTCTAATTTTGTTTCCCTATATGAGAGTTTTCTAGCCAAGCAGAAGTTTTTGTGCATAATGAATTATTCATGTTACTTTTCTAATCATGACTGATAATGACACTACATTGGTGTTATAAATACTTGCTTTTATACTATACATGTACCTGAAGTTGCTGAAAAAATGCTACCTTTTGCAAATAATACTGATCATAATTCAGTTTCATCAAGACAAATATGTCTGAACATAAAACATACTTAAGCATTGCCAGTGAAACTCAACTTGTAACAGTAACTTTAACATTTCATAACATCATAGAGTTATTACCTACCATTACATAATTGGTGTAAGGATGTATAGATTCTTAAGACATTTAAAATTTGACCATCAATCAACATTCCATAACAGCTAGAATCACCAAGTTATCATCTGGTAAAGTTTTATTACACATCACAATATATTTCAAGTTTTTTTTCTTAATTTTCGAGTCTGACTGTACACTTACTTAAGAAACCCTGAGACAGGAATATCATAGGTAGAATTGCTGTAGAGCATATTTCCCAGCAATGATCCAGTTCCTCCATACATCTGTTTGTAGGCAATTTCATCAACCAACTACAATATAGCAGTCAATAAGGTAACCATTATGTTGTCTTTAACAGTAGGTTAAATGTTAAAACAAAGAGGTGATCATTATGTTGCCTTTAACAGTAGGTTAAATGTTTTAACAAAGAGGTGATCATTATGTTGTCTTTAACAGTAGGTTAAATGTTTTAACAAAGAGGTGATCATTATGTTGCCTTTAACAGTAGGTTAAATGTTTTAACAAAGAGGTGATCATTATGTTGCCTTTAACAGTAGGTTAAATGTTTTAACAAAGAGGTGATCATTATGTTGTCTCTCTCAGTAGGTTAAATGTTTTAACAAAGAGGTGATCATTATGTTGCCTTTAACAGTAGGTTAAATGTTTAAGCAAAGAGGTGATCATTATGTTGTCTTTAACAGTAGGTTAAATGTTAAAACAAAGAGGTGATCATTATGTTGCCTTTAACAGTAGGTTAAATGTTTTAACAAAGAGGTGATCATTATGTTGCCTTTAACAGTAGGTTAAATGTTTTAACAAAGAGGTGATCATTATGTTGCCTTTAACAGTAGGTTAAATGTTAAAACAAAGAGGTGATCATTATGTTGTCTTTAACAGTAGGTTAAATGTTTTAACAAAGAGGTGATCATTATGTTGCCTTTAACAGTAGGTTAAATGTTTTAACAAAGAGGTGATCATTATGTTGGGTTTAACAGTAGGTTAAATGTTTTAACAAAGAGGTGATCATTATGTTGTCTTTAACAGTAGGTTAAATGTTTAAACAAAGAGGTGATCATTATGTTGTCTTTAACAGTAGGTTAAATGTTTTAACAAAGAGGTGATCATTATGTTGTCTTTAACAGTAGGTTAAATGCTTTAACAAAGAGGTGATCATTATGTTGTCTTTAACAGTAGGTTAAATGCTTTAACAAAGAGGTGATCATTATGTTGCCTTTAACAGTAGGTTAAATGTTTTAACAAAGAGGTGATCATTATGTTGTCTTTAACAGTAGGTTAAATGTTTTAACAAAGAGGTAATCATTATGTTGTCTTTAACAGTAGGTTAAATGTTTTAACAAAGAGGTGATCATTATGTTGTCTTTAACAGTAGGTTAAATGTTTTAACAAAGAGGTGATCATTATGTTGCCTTTAACAGTAGGTTAAATGTTTTAACAAAGAGGTGATCATTATGTTGTGTTTAACAGTAGGTTAAATGTTTTAACAAAGAGGTGATCATTATGTTGCCTTTAACAGTAGGTTAAATGTTTTAACAAAGAGGTGATCATTATGTTGTGTTTAACAGTAGGTTAAATGTTTTAACAAAGAGGTGATCATTATGTTGTCTTTAACAGTAGGTTAAATGCTTTAACAAAGAGGTGATCATTATGTTGTCTTTAACAGTAGGTAAAATGCTTTAACAAAGAGGTGATCATTATGTTGTCTTTAACAGTAGGTAAAATGTTTTAACAAAGAGGTGATCATTATGTTGTCTTTAACAGTAGGTTAAATGTTTTAACAAAGAGGTGATCATTATGTTGCCTTTAACAGTAGGTTAAATGTTTTAACAAAGAGGTGATCATTATGTTGTCTCTAACAATAGGTTAAATGTTTTAACAAAGAGGTGATCATTATGTTGTCTCTAACAATAGGTTAAATGTTTTAACAAAGAGGTGATCATTATGTTGTCTCTAACAATAGGTTAAATGTTTTAACAAAGAGGTGATCATTATGTTGTCTTTAACAGTAGGTCTTTAACAGTAGGTTAAATGTTTAAGCAAAGAGGTGATCATTATGTTGTCTTTAACAGTAGGTTAAATGTTTTAACAAAGAGGTTATCATTATGTTGTCTTTAACAGTAGGTAAAATGTTTTAACAAAGAGGTGATCATTATGTTGTCTCTAACAATAGGTTAAATGTTTTAACAAAGAGGTGATCATTATGTTGTCTCTAACAATAGGTTAAATGTTTTAACAAAGAGGTGATCATTATGTTGTCTTTAACAGTAGGTTAAATGTTTTAACAAAGAGGTGATCATTATGTTGCCTTTAACAGTAGGTTAAATGCTTTAACAAAGAGGTGATCATTATGTTGTCTTTAACAGTAGGTTAAATGTTAAAACAAATTAATCTACAAATAAATATAGGTTTTGCTCCAATTACATCAAATTGTAGTAACCAGTTATTATGAAGTTTTTTAAGTTTCTGCTTTAACATGAAATAATTGAGCATGCTGATTTTACGAAAAATTATTCAAACTTATCGGGTCAAATAAGTGTAGTCAAGGAAATCATATGTTAAATGAGTACATTGGGGACAGAGCAGTGAATTTCATCCAGACTACTCATTCAGTCATTAGTTTCATCATCAGATCATTTGATATTTCTCAATCAGATCATGATTTGATTATTTTAATTGTGTGTTACCTACCCTGTCAAGGTCTGTCATTTCTGCATCTGTGAGTGGTTGACAGACAAATCTTTCCAAAGGTGCTCCAATAAGGTAGGTAAGAGAGGTCAATAACATCAGCAGTGAAGAAAAAATGAAAACAAATCCAACCGACCTGAAAAATACAGTTCAATTACAAACAAACCTACAATTGTACAGCCATCTTAGGGCCCCACATGGCTCAGTTACAAACTACACAGCTGAGACATATGCAAACTTACAGACTGATACAAAATGCACAGCTTAGACACAAATCTACACAAAATACACAGCTCAGTCAGAAACCTACCGACCTGTACAAAACACACAGCTCACTCACTAACCTACAAACCTGTGCAATACACAGCTCTGTTACAAATCTACAGACCTACATAAAACACACATCTCAGTTACAAACATACAGACCTTTACAATACACAGCTCTGTTACAAACCTACAGACCTGTACAAAATACACAGCTCAGTCACAAACCTACAGACCTGTACAATACATAGCTCTGTTACAAACCTACAGACCTGCACAATACATAGCTCAGTCACAAACCTACAGACCTGTACAAAATACACAGCTCAGTCACAGACCTACAGACCTGTACAAAACACACAGCTCAGTCACAAACCTACAGACCTGTACAAAATACACAGTTCAGTCACAAAAATACAGACCTATACAAAATACACAGCTCAGTCACAAACCTACAGACCTGTACAAAACACACAGTTACAAATCTTACAGACATATACAAAACACACAGCTCTGTTACAAACCTACAAACGTATACAAAACACACAGCACAGTTACAAACCTTACAGACCTACACAAAATACAATCTGGTTACAAACCTATCGCCCTAAAGAAAATATTTCTAAGTGACAAAATAATGCTGCAATTCGATAAAAAAAACTGTGAGAATAACATTAACTACACTCAATGTAGACAATTAATTATGCCGTCTTTTTTTTTTGGTGCAACATTCACTTTTCTAAATCGGAAGTCTAACAAAATAATAACTATTCACCTTGGCTTTAAATGTAGCAGTTGTAATAACTGAAGTTATACCAGATGATCCATCTGCATGAAAGGAATGCTTGATCAATCATTTATAATTTTTTTTGCAAACTGAAAGTCAGTAGGCTGAATCACGAGTTTCTAAACAGTAAGAAAATAAAATACTTACGCCATGAACATTTGTCCTCCAGAGTTTGACATGCATCCTCGTTCAGTTGGTACAGTGTTGCTATCATAGCCAATCAAAGCAAACACAAGGCCTAGTAGTTGAAGGACAACAACAAGCAGCACAATGCAAGTCAAACCAACACCTCCATACCATCTGCAATTTTAATTTTAATTATCATCATACCATGATAAGTTATGGCACACTGTTTTGAAATTATAATGGTATTATGATGATTTTCATTTTTTTTTTTTTTATACATTTTTTAAATATTTTGATACAATTTTTTCAGCTACCCCTAACTACAAATAATAACTGTGTTTCTCTAGAGTGTCATGTTACTACAGTAGTCAGTTTATTGGTGTCAATCATATTTGTATCCCCATTATAAAAAGATATTGGAAATGAATGTCATCGCCTATAGTGTTACATTGTGTATATAACAGAGATGAAAGTGGCTGGCATTGGAAAAGGCGGAAATCCGCCGATCGGCGGAAATTTTTCATCTCTGTTGTAATTCAACTATAGCTTTCAAACGTTCGACCGATGTAAGAGTTATCTTCCTTCGTATTATCAATTTGACAATACTGGAAACTTGGTGCACGTAATTGCTCGATGTTTAATTTTACAGTTTATAAGGGCATATAAATCGAAGGATTTAAGAACGGAGTTGATGAAGATTGCTTAAAAATAAAATGCATCATCAAGACATACCTAACCCCCCCCCCCCACCACCCCTGAAATTTTCTCACCGGATTTGCATCGATCTCAAAAATGACCAAATTTGTCACGAAAAAGGCGGAAATCCGCTGATCGGCGAAAATTTTTCATGCTTACCTGTACTGATTGTATGTTCGTGCTGTGGTCATATATGTTGAGAAGTCGCTTAGTAAAGCATCAGAGTCAAAAGATGACAAAACCTGTGGAAAATACAGGAAAAAATATAAGCCCCCATTAAAAAGGATTTGTTACTGAGTAACAAAGTATCACTATGAAGTGTTTAAAGGACAGATCTGTGTGAAAAGGCTGGACTTCTTTCCCCAAAATATGGTCAGTATTTTCTCAGTTTCACCAAAGATGAAAGTAAAAAAGAAATGTTTTATCAATGTAGCAATGATTTTATTTTCGATACATTGATTTTTTGTGATGTTTGTCCTTCCTTGAAATTGTGAAATTCATTCCTGATAAGAACTGCTTCCCTTTAAATTGACTATGAAATACACTACGCCAATCAATAAATATTTCTAATCATGTTAAGTGATGAATATTGATATACATTGCTGCTCTAATGGAAATTCTATGTTGAATAAATACATATTTAATACAGGTATTGTAAGCTTTGAAACTTTTTCTATATATTGAATAATGAACGTATCAAAAAGTTAATGGGAAAATTTATAGCCTATTTCAAAAGTTTAAAGTTTCCTGTAAATATTGAAATAGATCTGAAGAAAAAAACTGCATTTTTAGTTGAATTATAATGTTTTTTCATCCTGAACCAGTTAACTGCCTCTTGAATTAAGGCATTAGTTATATCATTTTATATTTTAATCAATTTTCAATTGCTTCCTATCATTGCATCTTAACAATATGTCATCAATGCTATTTAAAGCATAAACTTTAAACACTTTAACAATGATTTTCACCATGTATATGCAATTCTGCACAAGTTTGAACTTGAAACTACACCTTAGATCAAAGCTTAGAACCACCACTGATGAATATTAAAATCTAAATAGAATTACTGATATAATGTAGCATGTATAAACCAGAAAATCATAATTATTCTATCATTTTAATTTGGATTATTCACCAGTTTTCATGAAACTTAAACATGAAAAAAATTCTGAAGTCATATTCCAATCTTGCAAACGAACGGAAACTTTCCAAACTTACACTTTACTGAGATGTTACATAATATGAAACTATTAAAGAGTCACAGGTTAAGTACAATCAAGACAGGCTTAGTAAATTTTGGATGATGGATAATTTTCATGTTATTTGATTAAATCTATCTTCAACTCTCTTTAATTACAAAGCTACTCACAATGCAGTTCAACCAGTCTCTCATAAAATTATGATCTTTCATTTTACTAAATGTGTACATAACTCAAGGTTCCGAAAAAGTAGAATGAAATTAAAGCTTATATAGTACTCCTAATGTATATATTGCAGTAAAATTGAGCATGGTAAGAAAGCACAAAAAATTATATCATTCTTACATCACTTTATACTTACAGAGGATCTCACTGAAGATAAGGAATCGACGATAGGGTTGACCAGATCGGAAAACTCATCAATCTTGTCTTTAATTGCTTAAAAAGGGACCACAAAGTTTTTTTCTTTGTAGATATATAACAAGAATCAGAAAATTTAATTACATTTCTTTACCGTGTGTAAGAACAGGAAAAAACACATGCTTACTAATTGATCCAACCTGAATTGAACCCTTGTTCATAAGATAATCCATGGCTTTATGTTGATTAAGCAGGAAGTTCCATCAGCTGAGTGTCAGAGACAAAATTTAACACTATGTATTAGCCCCACTAGCCAATTCCTTTTAACTGCCATGCTTTTCTTGATCTTCAAATATCAACTCCTGAACTTTTTTTAATTCGTGGGATTTCAATGGACACTAATGTGAAATTTAGAAGAAGGAAAATACATTGAAACTGCTGAGCGATTGACAGACCAAATCTATCACTGTAATCATATCTATGAGCCTCTGACCCACTCCTTTTATTACTATTTAATAATGTATTCAAAATAGTATTGGACTTAGAGCAGTCATACTTACTTGCAATTGTGCTGTTAGTTTCATTGTGAACTCTCCATGGAATTTGCCAGAAATCTTCTTCAGCCTGACAAAAACCATCATACATTGTTTTACAATTTTAGTGTTATGACAAGGTATGGAAGGATCACAGATCCAACAAACATTCTGAAAGTATCACTACTGCAATAAAATAATATCACTCAAAATCTTAAATCACAACAGATCCAAGTTGTTAAAAATTAAGATGAATCTTTTCCCTTCTTCCCCTTATCCTAATCCCAAACCAGGCAGACTGACAGTCTCCTCTGTTTAGAAGGGGACAATTACAAAGTTAGTTGTATTACACAAGTATAATTGTTACACAGAAAATTACTTACTTCCAGAACTTTAGAAGTCATATTGGCATTTTTTATATCATCCGCTTTAGAGAGTTGTGAGGAGATGTCTGGCAGCTACAGAAAAAAAAGGATGAAGCCTCTGCAATTGTTTTAATTTGTTGAAATCGTTCATTATATCATATATAGATCTATATGAGATGAAGCAGCAATTTTTTAACGAAATTTTTAACTGGTGCCAAGATTGCAACATCTTCTACATGAAGTGGTTTCGTCAATATTTGTAGTATGTGTGATAACAATATTGACACTATAATGTGCAAGCTACCAAATATCAACTTCTACACAACAATGAGCAAATTCTATAGAAATATGTAATGTCTTCCCAATATTTCTCTGTAAATGCAGAAGTCCAAGATAAACAAAAATTTTGAGAAAAAAAATGCTAAGGAGTAAAAAACATATACCCAGGTAACCACTTTCTTATAATGTTGTTTTAAAAAGCAAAATATCAAATGTTTATCAACATACAAACAGTGACTTAATTGCCAGCTAAATGACAGCAATATTGACCCACATTCATGGCATATTGCATGGTCAATGATTAATTTGATTGCTATCAAAATGACAGTCATATATAACTTACAGAGTTTGCATTCATATCAGTTGCAAGGCTGGTGGTATCAATGGCATCACATGCAGCCTGTATAGAATTACAGCTGGACAAGGTGGTATCAAGGCTTGCTTTAAAATTTGTTAGAGCTGTACTCAAATCACTGAAGGCTGAGTCTACTGCAGCCAATGAGGTATTAACTTGCGCCAGGTCTGTTGTAGCATTGTCAGCCACTGAAATTGTGTTAAACTTACACTAAAATATAAATAGCAATGATCGTGGCATATTTCATACCAAGGTGCAGTAACAAAGTTTTGAATGGTCCAATAAAATCATAATCTCATCCTCTACATGAGTAAATTAGGATTACAAAATATATATACAGAAAACATGTATGACTAGTAAAAAGAATTCCACAGAAGTGGATGTGTTGCCTACCCAGCAAGGTTTCTGAAGATGAGTTTTATGAAACAATAGATATTCAGTGTACATACAATTTGTCCATTTGTTTGAGATGTGATGAGTGAACTTGCAGATTAGATAGTGTCAAACGGAAATGTATCCCGAGAATAGATCTGTATATCAAAATTACATGCAGAATTAGAATTTAAAAAAAATATTGATTTGCTCTAAATACGACAGGAACAGGGACAACCCACCTGAAAAGCAATTTCAAACAAGCCCCTTTGGTTAAGCATTGCATTAAGTTTGAGTCTTCTTGTCCAAAGAAAACTCAAGTAATAACAAAAATCTATATTCTTTTTGAAACTACAATGACACTGACCTTTGACCTTGAAAGCAATACCAAACAAGTACCTTTTGTAAGGTTATTGTACAAAAGCAAACTTTCTATTTAAAGTATCAGTGATCTTGACCTTTGATCTTTGTATGTGAAAAGCAATCCCAAGCAAGCCTCTTTGGTAAGGAAGCACTGCATAAAGTTTGAGTGTATTTTTCCAAAGAAAACCAAAGCTATTGTAGGAAAACCAATCTCCTATATATGGTAACACTGTCCTTGACCTTTGAAACCTCAAAAGCAATCCCAACGAAGCACTTTTGGTAAGGAAGCACTGTATGAAGATTGAGGTAGGTCAGTCAAAGTGTGCTTAAGTTATCACAAAAAATCAATTTCCTATTCATAGTCATAGATCATGGCCTTGACCTTTGACCTTTGGACCTGAAAAGCAATCCCAAGCAAGAACTTGATAAGGAAACATTGTATGAAGTTTGAGGTAGATTGGCCAAAGTGTACACAAAAATATTATATATACCTCACATCATTTAGAGCAGACAAATAATATTAGATGAGATAATCTAAAATGACATTTATCACACAATGTACCACTTATTTTCCTACACAAGTGGAGTGTTTGTGTCTGTATCAAAGAATAACATCATTATATGCTTACATCCCACAAGTGTGTAAGCAGTTTGAAAGCAGGCATCTAAACCCGAGTCCACACCTATTGCATCTCGGAGTGGTACACCTAACAGGTACCCTACACCTACAAGGAGAAAACACAGGCATTATAACTCACAACTATCTACAAAATTCCCTTTTACATTTTTTGAAATATTAGCAAATTAGCAATATGCAAATTTATTTTCAAAACATCAACAAGTATTAAAAATCTATGGTTTGAAATAGAACAAGCTGATGGCTTTTTTTGACAAAATTTACAAATAATATACAGCAAATCAAAGATCTGTTTTGTGTGATTTCTTCTGCAATTATTCTGGTACAACAAGATCTAAAATATTCTGTATAAATTACACTCTTACTGACCAAAATATATAGAACACAGTGCCAAATGTATTGCCTAAATTAAACTCTTACTGGTATTCAAAACACAACTCCAAAATATTGTGTCAATTACACTGACTAATTGACCAATGGAACAGTATTTTTGTTTTGAATTGTCTACATATTTACATGTATAATTATTTCTTGATGCTAGCACTGCAACATAGGATCAGTTTTGGAAATTCACCTGATTTTGTCAGGTCAGCCGCATATTCGCCAAACTATAAATTGATAATAAGGTTTTTTTCCTAAAAAACCCTTTAAAAACAATGTCAACAATGATTTTTAAGGCTTTAACCAGATATTATGTGACAAGTCATTGACAATCTTTGTTTACTGAGAGTGATAGAGAGGACTTATGTGTTATGATTATAATGGAGATTTGTTCAAGATTGATGATTCAATTTGCAATAGATGATGTCATTCCCAGTTCGTGTATGAGATCTTACTATCTAAATCTCGCTTGACGACATCTGTAGTGAAGTTGAAATTGTCTTTCACTAGAAGCTCTATTTGCTGAAAATAACAAAAAGACATATGCCTATTTAAGTTTCCATAAATATAAGAAAATATGCAGGAACTAATTGGACCACATTTTTTACATCAAGTCTTAGATGATAAATTATAAATGCACAATATAATTTGATAACTGTTACACATAGCATACCTGCAAACAAGTTCAAATTTTAACAAATCTTTAAAATGATTATTACAATTTAAGATGTTTACAAACAACACTCTATCATAATTCAAAACAACTAATTTCAGACCTTGCAAGGGTCCCTCCTCCAATGCTTGATTATACTTAATATAAAATGTCTCCTTTCTACAAAAGTTATCTGGAGTGTTGAGTATTGAAGGAGTAGCAGTAGTTCAGATAAAGAAATGTATCATTCATATGACAATGTATGTTAACAAACCATGTAAGACATGTATGCTACTTACATCAATTGTGGCATTTATAAATGTAAACAGGTCATCCACAGTATTAGCAACACTTGTGTCTAGGGTATCCACAGTCTTTGTAAACTGGTCATTGGAAATGAACACACATGCCATTCCAGACCTAAAATGAATGTAAAATGAAACTAGAAGCCCCTTATAAGTCATTTTCAGGCAGGTTATCATTTCAGTTACTTAAACTGGTGGCTTCACTGAACATCATTCAGAAAGCCTGACACATACTATCTGGAATTATTAAGGCTTTAATAGCCAGAGGACACAACCACAACACTGTTCAAGGTCTCAGCTTCTTCCAAATACAAATCTTGTGGGTGGAAATCAAACCACATATACCCTCAGATATTAAACAAAGGGACAACTCGTCTCTAAAAAATTATGATACTCAAAAATTTTGCAGCAAAAGCCAAACTAACTTGTTTAAAGATTAACAAAACAGTATCTCAAGATTTTATCAATGCAAAAAGAAATATTTACACCACAAAGAATTTTTTAACATATCAAGCACAACAAAGTAATCACACAGAAATTTATCAGACTTACGCTGTGAAAATGATGACTATGAAAAGGCACACAACATAAACTTTCCGCCGACAAGAAGACTCGGCATCCTCCCTTCTCTGCATCATTTTACCACCACAACAACCACAGCAGCGACAGCAACAAAAGCAGCATCCAATGAGAGGGAACAGTATGATGAACAGTAATCCTATCACTATACATGTAACATACCCTGCAAACTGAGAAGCGTACTGAAAGGAGAAAACACAATAGGTCATTAATCGATCAATAAGATAGTAAAATTTATCGAGAAAAGCAGCTAGATCAAGTCTAACATAATATATGTAACTGCAGCATGTAATTGCTTTTATTTTCTAGAACATGAATATTAATTAGATAAGATCAAAACACTCCAAACTATTACAGGGCATCCTCTGTATATCAGAGCTGCATGGTGATCAATTCATTAAGCTATAAAGTCAAAGCTTGTCATTAAGAATTGTGATGCGACTGACTTATATGTTTTCCAACAACATGCAAGAATTAAATAAAGTTCCCTTGTCATGTGACTTATTTCAAGTGGAAACATATTTAAGTACAGATCAAGAATTTCAAGTTCACAACAGCAATGTATAAAACACTTACAGATTGCCAATTGCTTGAAACATCATCCATAAGTGTACCATCCATCACTTTATCAACAGCTTCTATAAATATTTATAACAAAACACTGGTTTTCAACAAAGATATAAAGACTGTAAGAACCTATATTATTCACCTACCGGTCAAAATGCTTCCTCCCCAACCCTCCTTATATTTTTTTTTTTTATAAAACTGTTATAATAATTGATTCTTAGTATTTACTTCATAAAGACTGTAGGAACCTACATTATTCACCTACAGGTCAACATGCTTCCTCCCCAAATCTCTTAATCTTTTTTGGGGGTTTTTTTTTTGCAAAAATGTTTTAATAATATGAATCCATTCTAGTATTTACTTAAGTATTGATCTGTCATCAGATGACAGTCATCATAACTGACAGAACATATTGTCTGCTAGTGTGATATGTTTGCCAGCAAAACTCAATTATACCAACTGTAACTGCCATACAAGAATGATAATGATTTTACATTCAATAGAAGTTAAAAGTAAGTTTATTTAAATAACTAACTGTAGTTCTTTTGAATAAAAGAGCTATCTTGACAGCACAATTATCATGTCATGAAGTCATTTACTATGTACTTATTATTTGACTAATTTCACGTATGACCACTTTTCTGTGTTTAAGTTCTGACCAACTGTGGTTCATAATGTCAAAAAACATTTACTGATTTTGAGATAAAGTATGATACATATGTATCTTGATTTGAAAAATTTGACTATGACATGTGACACAATAAGCATAACCATTGGTTGGTTGACTTTCGTTTGATTTCAATTTATCATCTCATAAAATGGAGACCATTTAAATGATCAAATGTTGTATCATACATGTAATCTGTGTCCTTGGTGATTACGAGCAAGCTTGATTTGGAGCTTCTTCAAGACGTTTTACCAAATTACATTTTTTAAAGTGAAAGTTTGTGATGTTGATCAAGAATATTATGATAACATTGTGATGTCATATTACTGAAAAACAGGTTATGCCATTATTAACAACAAATGCACTAACTGAAAAGTTAAGGACTTGTGTTATTAAACTCCTTATAAATAAAACTTGGTAACTACATAATACTTCTTGATATCAGCTAGGAAGTCAATGTTGTCATTTTCAAAGTAGAGTTGAATAATATTTCATTAAATGTATAAATTTGACAAAATATACAATGCAGAAACCATACAATACTGAAATATTAGTTCTATTGTTCATTGGTTAGTCAGCGAGTAGCAAATTATGTATTTCAATAAATCATTCATTAACAGCACATATTTTTACAATAATATTTAAGTACTTATAGACATTTAATGATTTAATATGATTGTTGAAAATCTAAATATCAAGCAAATTTACCCCATGGAAAGCCTCCTGGAAAGCATAGATTAACAAATCCCTTGGCCATGCTATTTAAAGTGGTCAATCCACCATCAGAGTAGGACAAGTCATCTGCTTTATAGTCAACAGTGGACGAAGAGCTAACCCAAGTGATGGTGCTATTTTCATCTGCTGAATTGCCACTGTTATCCGAGATAGTTGCCTCCGATATTGTAGGATCTGCAGTGTGGCGACCCACCACTATTTCCACACATAGCAATAGCACAAATATAATTGTTTTATTTATTAATTCCATGTTGGTCTTTGTAAAATCCTGGTTCTATATGAAATTATGTTCTTTTATAAGAATATTCTCTAAAGAATATTAAACTTGGTTGTTGATAATCAGACAATTGTCAGGACAAAGAGTCTATTTCTTCTTCCATATTGGTGTAATCTGCAGCACTGGTTACTTTTACAACCTTGGGTAAATGCCTGGGTATCTGCAACATACAGCAAAATAATCAATATAAGCAGTGTCTGTGAATGTTTAAATACTCCAACGCATTTCTAGGAATTCCCTTTCATGTTAACCCACATCTGAATATTAAATGGACATACTCTTTTTGTATTTTTTTCCAACTCTCAAAGTGAAGTGATGTCTATTTGTTAAAGTAAAATTCCCTTAAGGGTATATTGTTTGGGCTTTCTTGGGATAAAACATTTGTCAGATAACATTAAACTGTCTCTACTGCCCATTCTTTTAGACCAATTTATCATTTTTTATCATTCAGCTGTTACAATGGGTTCTGTTGGATTACTTGCTTACTTTCAATATTGCCTCACCTGCACTAAATAAAGTAAGGGAGTGATAGATAACATTTTCACATGTGTACATTGTATTTAGCCCCACTGACAAGATACTTTTACAAAATTACGGACAATGTTACTCGCGTCGTCTGCGAGTGGAGCGTTTTCCACAACCCTATTTCTTTCCACTCAAAAAAAAACTCGTGGCATATGAGATAAGTCACACGACTGAAAAATGACTAGACTATATACCTTACATACACTGTACAAATACAGGATCAAATTGATTACTGAGTTAAACAATATATTTCGGTCAGGTTGTGTGCCATTAAAATTCATTTGTCAAACCACCTTGATGCTGCTGCTGTGATGTTGATTGGGTTTTAATCTATGTCAAAGAAACGCTTGTATAGTAATGACGAAATGTATTGCGCGGGAAACGTTTTGATTCTCTATTTACTATCATTTTATTATTTTCATCATTGGATTCAAAGATTCCTGCCTATAAAATAAGAATCTATTACTTTTATCAATGTATATGGCACTTGCCATGCAGGACAGTAGCCTTTAAGTCTATTAGATACAACTACTCGATACACAAAGCTATTTTTAGTGTCTTTTGACACTGTACCTGGCGTGAAATGGCATTTAGGAGTTTTGTTCACAGTCTTTTTGTATGAGAAATTTGAAGTTAAAGTGTTGTATCACTTATTTGGTCATTGCCGAGTAGAAGATACAACTGTCTTCACTCCGGTTTACTTTCAAAACCATAACGATAGAGTCAAGTTTCGTCACAGGTTTAATTTGTTGGATAGGGAAACTTTGTTAAAAATGTACTATTCGTTTATCTTGCCTATCTTTGATTACTGTTGCGAGTTATGGGACGGGTGTACTATTCAAGAATGTGAGATGTTAGAAAAGTGTCAGCGTGAAGCAGCCCGTATTATCACTGGTCTCCCATCCTATGCTACCAACCATTCTCTGTATTATGAGACAGGATTAGAGCTACTTTCAGAGAGGAGAAATAGAAGAAAACTTCAGTTATTATACAAAATGAAAAATGGCATCACTCCTGATTTTCTAAACATAATTCTTCCTAATGTTATTCATGAATCTGTTAGATACCAATTAAGAAATAACAATGATTTCATCATACCTAATTTCAGACTATCGTCTACCATTTCATCCTTTCTTCCATCTACGCTTCGTTCCTGGAACAACCTCGAGTTAGCCACTAGGTCCTTAGAATCTTTTGCACATTTCAAAAACGCTACATAACGTAAAGTTACTTCTGCTCCTAGCTACTTTGGATTTGGCGATCGTAAAATTAATATAATTCACACTAAATTAAGGTATAATTACAGCCCACTCAATTACGATCTATTTAGGGTAAATATTGTTGATAGTCCTTTCTGTTCATGTGGGTTTCCTTGTGAAAATGCCTATCACTTCCTCTTGGAATGTCCGCTCTATAGACACCAGAGGCTTGTTATGTTTCAGGGTTTGAACCTAGATATTGAAGTCGATGTAGACTTATTATTGTCGGGTAATCCTGATTTACCATTGCAAAATAACATTGATATTTTCAGACGGGTACACAAATTTATAAAAACCAGCAATAGATTTCAATAGATTTATATGAAAGAGAATATTTCATTAATCTCTCTCTCTCTCTCTCTCTCTCTCTCTCTCTCTCTCTCTCTCTCTCTCTCTCTCTCTCTCTCTCTCTCTCTCTCTCTCTCTCTCTCTCTCTCTCTCTCTCTCTAGAATAAGTTATTATTTATTATACTAATTTTGTTATCCATTTAAGCCATATTTGTATTCGTTGTACATATTTGAGGAGAGGGCTTAAATAATGTTGTAATAACTTGTGCCCGATCCTCTTGTCTATGTTATTTTGGCAATAAATATGTTTAAACTAAAAACTAAAACACAGGTTACAGCCCCAAAATGAAAGTGACATAATTGGCGTTATACCGAGTCAGCAATATTCGCGACTCTGAATTACTTCATGTCATCCGAAAGCATTTTTGAGACTCACGTTTGTCACGATGTATGCCGCTCTCCTAACTCAGCAAAAGTAATGTGACGGACATCTCTATTTTATGAACACATGTTTTCCGGGCTATTAATGATCGACGGCCGTCCTAACTGAGGTTTCCTTCTCACGCATTGTTTGATAATTACATAAACTTAATCACCGCTCCATACACAGCTTTGTCCAATTTGCCAACTATTAAACAATTACAGACAGTAATATAATTCCATTAATGAAACAAATGATGTACATGTACTTATATTAGGTGTGGTGCCTTTTACCACCATACCGGGAGAGATCTGTGGACTCGAAACTTTTTATACACCCCCACGCGCGCTTCCATCTGGGCCAACAAGAGTGACTAGTATAAGCTGACATAACTTGTCAACTGTTGTAAAATAGATAAAGTTTATATTTCTATATACTTACTTGAATCTGTAGTGTTGTTTATTTCGTTCGTTGTTTTCTTTTTGTTTGTTTTATTTTTTATTGCTTTTGTTTTGTGGTATTTTAAGGGGATGAGTGGTTGGTTTGGTACACGTATGTACACCACTGTTAACTTTACACGTATACATTTAAAGCATAGATACATACTTACAACGCCCTAAATTAACCAGATTGTCATTATTTAGGGGACAACAATGTAAACAATCACGCTAATAAAATCATAGCGACAATGGCAGGGGTGCGATTACTTTACGGAACAAAGCCTGTTTATTGAACCTGTGTATAAGTTCGTCCCGCATGATAATGTAATGTCAAACCATTTCAATATAGTTCTATATACACACTTTAAAGCATAGGTAATATACATTATACTAACGTACTATTTATATTTCTTCAATAGAATTTATCTGTATATAACAGCGTGACAATACTGAAATACATTAACGGATGTTTAAAAGTTAATTGTTATACATTCAGTTTAAGGAAGCATTGAAGATGAGAAGTTCTATTGTATCATTTTTCACTCGTTTCGTTATTTGGTATCATTTCTACAGCTGTTTCATTATCATTTTATCACATTAGTAAACCGAATAACTGTTTAAACTACAGCCTGTACACGCGCATAATTGTACACGCGTCTATTGTCTTCAGTGTGACTTGGTGCCATTTCAGTTTATGAATTTGATCCTACAATAGATTCAAGATAATTTTCAACATTGTCAGTCGGCAAAGTCACACATATACACGAGTATCACAATTTCGTAATAAATTTACCATATGGGGTATACAGTTGATATGAAGCCAATCCGGGTGGTGAAGATAAAGAGAATAAGCGCCCGTTAGGATATCTTACACAATGGCCACGAAAACCTTTACGAACAAATTGGTAGGTCATATAGTGTTTTTTTGGAATGTTACATAGAATAAAATGCAGGAATTTTAATCAAAGACATGATTGTTTCTGGCTTATCAGGTCGGCTGAATTCGGATAGGGACTTGGTAATACATCTGAATTCAGACGAAGATACGATCATACTGCTGTATTTAGAGAGAGTAAAATCTCACACAACGAGTTCAGACAGATATCTGATAATACTGCTGAGTTCAGACAGAGATCTGATAATACTGCTGAGTTCAGACAGAGATCTGATAATACTGTTGAGTTCAGACAGAGATCTGATAATACTGCTGAGTTCAGACAGAGATCTGATAATACTGCTGAGTTCAGACAGAGATCTGATAATACTGCTGAGTTCAGACAGAAAGCTGATAATACTGCTGAGTTCAGACAGAGATCTGATAATACTGCTGAGTTCAGACAGAGATCTGATAATACTGCTGAGTTCAGACAGAAAGCTGATAATACTGCTGAGTTCAGACAGAGATCTGATAATACTGCTGAGTTCAGACAGAGATTTGATAATACTGCTGAGTTCAGACAGAGATCTGATAACACTGCAGAGTTCAGACAGAGATCTGATAATACTGCAGAGCTCAGACAGAGATCTGATAATACTGCTGAGTTCAGACAGAGATCCGATAATACTGCTGAGTTCAGACAGAAAGCTGATAATACTGCTGATTTTAGACAGAGATCCGATAATACTGCTGAGTTCTGACAGAGATCCGATAATACTGCTGAGGTCAGACAGAGATCCGATAATACTGCTGAGTTCTGACAGAGATCTGATAATACTGCTGACTTCTGACAGAGATTTGATAATACTGCTGAGTTCAGACAGAGATCCGATAATACTGCTGAGTTCTGACAGAGATCTGATAATACTGCTGAGTTCAGACAGAGATCTGATTATACTGCTGAGTTCTGACAGAGATCTGATAACACTGCAGAGTTCAGACAGAGATCTGATAATACTGCAGAGCTCAGACAGAGATCTGATAACACTGCTGAGTTCTGACAGAGATCCGATAATACTGCGGAGTTCAGACAGAGATTTAATAACACTGCTGAGTTCAGACAGAGATCCGATAATACTGCTGAGTTCAGACAGAGATCTGAT